AATCTTTCTTTTACCTCTTTCTTCTCCTGTTCTGAATCAACGAGTAGTCAAACCAATCTGTATTCAATGTCCCTTGAAGCATAAGTTATGCTGGGAAGCGGAAACTATGACAGGGGTTGGTTAAAGGGAACCCCCACTCCCACTTACCCTAAATATTTTACAAAAGTACCATCAAATCTTTGAAAAGTTTAACTCAATGTGTGCGTACACAAACATATTTCTACATGTAATTTTGTGTGTGATTTGCTTTGGTTTTTTTTTCCGCTCCTATTACATTCTTGTCTTATACCATATGCAACAAAGTCAACAATTTATGTAAGATCCGACCCTCCACCCCCATGTAGATGCAAACTTGAGCATAACAAGATAATCAGATAAGAATGTACCCAGCAAATGCCAGCATATCCATCTCAAATCGAAGATGTATGGACATGAAGTGACCTCGTGAGCGAAGCTTATCTACTATGGATTGACTTATCTTCATTATATTTGTCTTGAACCTCAGAGCATGATAGTTAACTCTGCACCTCAACCGCTGATACTCAGGGTTGTCAATTTCTTCTGCCAAGCGATGTGAAAAGGGAGTAAGATAAATAGCACCATGCTCCTTCATTTTCGCAAGTGCCTCTGTAGTATACCAACTGATAGGAGCATCTCGAGGCGGACGAAGCTGAGACAAGGTTTAGAGGAAGGGGGAGTTAACATTTCAAACCTATTGAAGAACTCAAATTGATCATAAAAAATACAGATGATTTACCTGTACAGCTTTTATCTTCTTGGTTTTCCCATTTTTGCGAATTTCCGGTATTTTTTGTACGATTTTTACATCATACCTCAATGACTGGATAAAATGCTCAACATCATAGATACCGCCGAAACCACTGCACATGTTACATAACAATTTATAGACTTAACAGAAACCAGCATACAATTGACAAGGAAAGTGCATAAAGACACATTACTCACAGTTCCTCAGAACGGATTCCTATGCTTTTCCAAGAAAAGAAGGGAGATATTCATATGAAACTATGCAAAAAGATGCTAATGGTTTTGCAAGAAAATCCATTCATGAAGATATCTTGAAGCTTTCTCTTTCCATACAACAAAGCAATAGACCAGTCATTGAAATGTCTTTTTATTCACAGAAAATATGCGACACGTCTCCTATGTATCTGCATTTTTGTCACAATTTTATCTACCTCATCTCTCTTGGTTAATACTTAATAGCCTCAGTCAGAAAATAAAGTTTATAAGTCTATAAAATGTGAATTTGAATACACCAAGAAGTCAAATCTGCCTATGTGAATTAAGGATCAAAGAACCATTGAAATAGATACCTGTCATCATGCCAAAAAGAGTTTGCATCCAGTTCTGGCAGCACAAGTGTAGCATTCATGATTCTTGCTGCAAGAACTGCATTGCATATCTAAAACGTCCAAGGAGTAATAGAAGGCAAATATTTCCCTCGTCAGATACATGAGTGAAAATATGTAATTACAGACCATAGAAAGCAGAAAAAGATACGAACCGCTGTACGTTGTTGATTGAGACCGCCATTACAGCGCACACGTAGGTAGCCATTGGTCTCACTTGGTGGAGCTGCCATAGTAGAAGCATCAGAACAATTTTAAAACAAACTTATTAAATCATTCATTGGGGAAAAAAAAAAAAGGAAAGACATACGGGGCCAATCAGATCGTGGAGCTGATGATGGTCTCCAACCACCAGAATCAGCACTTCTCCAAAGTTTATCCAAGTTAATCTGCGCAAACATGGCAAGATAACTATGAGTCAAACTTTCAGCATATAATAACAATCAGTTCCAAAAGTCACAGTAATTCTTATCTTCCTTGAACGAACAGAACCTCTTAACTTCTTAAGAGTGTTTTGAAGACAAAGGGAGACGTGTAATTTAAGGTGACAAACTAAAAATGATATCCCACCTTTGTTATCCCTATCGCACACATACATGAACAATGTATAAGCTTGCAAACATTAAAACTTCAACTTAGGAGCCACCACAAAATACGCAATAAAAACTCCTAGTAACATTGAGATGTCGAATTAATATAATCAAATGCATCTCAGAAGAGTACTTTGTAAGGCCTAATTTTTTCATATTTTTAGATAACGTAAAATTGGATATGACCTGAGTACTTTACGCTTGATTGCTTCATTTTTTACATAATTTCTTTACATAAACCAATCATGTTGATCAACAAGTTAGAAGATACTGGATAATCATCCTAATTATCATTGTCATTGATTAGAAAGGACTGGAAAAAATGTTATAGATCATTAATTTCCAACAATCTCATCCATAACAAAGATAATGCTTGGCACATAGGTGGCAAAACAAAGCGGCAGAATTTAGCTTCTGGCGGTCATTTGAATGCACCTAAACATCTAAATTAACAATCAAATCACTGCCTCAACATGATAACATACCTAGAAACCACTCCCAAATACACTGATTTACTCACATAGAGCTCGTAATTTGCATAATTTCCAAGCATCAGTGACATTTGCATACAAATTATCATAATTTAAGTAAACCATAGTCCTTTTCAAGTTAAAGCTCGAGCCGTCATTCGAAAAAAGCACTTCTTCATCGTTATTACTAACTCCGGAAATCAAACCGAAAGCGAAGTGCCTAAACTAGCATACTAAACTCTACTCACAGTAATATAATAACACCATCGAATTCGGAAAAACAACTAAAAGAATTTCTCATCAACCAAACAGACTAGACTTCCTCAAAGCTAAAACTGAACGGAGTAAATCCGAAAGCTCAGCTTCCAACTAACCTCGGAGCCAAATCCAGATCCACCACCACCACCGCCACTGGTCGTGGTCATAACCAGAAACGAAACGGTGCAGATCAGGAGAACTACGACGCCGATCAATAGCCTCCCAAGCGTGCCCTTCATCACCCCTCCTCCTCCTCCGGCAGCTTGCTTCGCGTGCTGCCTCCCCGGTCTGCATCAAATCAACGGAAAAAATGGGATTACTTTGTCTGGTTAGCGGGAAAGTAGAGAATCGGAGTGAGGGAATGTAAGGAATTAGTTGGGATTTACCTTCGCATTGTAATTTGAGATGAGAAAATTCAGCTTCTTTCTTCCTTTGTTTACACTTCAACTGCTGCCACTTTGTGATCTCAAGTCGCAAGGAAAATATATTCAGTGTTGAAATTATATTAAATAAAATAAATAAAAATGAAATAAATTGTTCAAAAAAAAAAAAACTACTTCCGAGGGACGTGCGAATAAATAGTTATAAAATAAAGTTATTGAGTATTTGATAAACTTTTTAATTTAAAAGTTTATTTAACAGAAAAAATAATGTATGAGCGTTAGATAAACTTTTATATAAATTGTTGTGAATATATTTAATAACTAAAAAAAAAATATGGTATTTCATGTAATATAATAATTTCAAAGAGAATAATATAGGCGCAATAATTACAATTTTGTTAAATATGTGGAGTATACTTGTTATTTAAAAATTTCATTAAATATGCACTGATATGTTAAAAAAGATAAAATCACTTCTTTTAGAAGTATGCTATACACATGTTTTTATTTTTTTTATTTTACGTTTTCCTACTGTCATTGATAACAGTTTTAAAAAAATACCTATTTGTTGAAATCCCCCCTAAACGTGTAATTTACTGTCAATTTATCCCTGAACTTTAATTTTTGCCAATTCCCTTCCTAAACTTTTATTTATGGCCAAATTCTCATCTTCTGTCAAGTCTCACACATTTCATCCATGGTTCCGTTAGTTAGTTTGGAGGTCAAAATCGTCATTTGGATCATTTTTGTTTCCTTTTTGAATTAGCATCTGGGATTCGACCAAAAAGAAAGGATTAACATATGGGACTTGTTGTGGGTCAGGTGGGTTGTGGTGAGGTCTTACTGGGGCTGAATTTGAGGGAAAGGGCAGTGGGATGAAGGGGGTGGCTGATTGTTTGAGGTTAGGGGTCGGTGGGAAGGGGCACAATCGGGTAGAAGAGGGAAAGTGGAAGAGAGATGTGGTTTCTTTATCTTTTTTTTTTTAATTAATTTATTTTTATTTTTAGTATGTATCATGGATAAAAGGTGAGAAATTTAAACGGCAGGGAGAATTTATCCATAAACAAAAGTTTAGGGAGTAATTGATGCAAATTAAAGTTGAGGGGGCAAATTGACAGTTAGTTCTAAGTTTAGGGGGTGAGGATTTTGACAAATACCTTTTTTAAAAAAGTAATTTTTTTTGTTTTACCAAACACATTTGATGTTCTAGATTTTTTACTAAGTTGTTTTTTTTTAAAGCACTACAATCACAAATCAGCCATAATAAACACAGATTTGAATGCAACTGCATACACTCCACATCAACCTTGGAAGACTACGAGTTGAAGAACTCCAGTCATAAAAAGGGCTTGACTATTATGAAACTTTTAGTCCTTTAATATGTCACACCCTGATCCTGAGATATACCCGGAATGATAGTAAATATCTCTCGTCTCATCAATGTGAGATTTACTCTCAACACTTATTATATTAGTGTCTATAATTAATTTCTTATGTGTAATATTAATGGATATATCCCCATTCAATTCGAATGAGCAAAAGCAATATCTCATTGCATATTATGGACCCCAAACATTCATGATTTGGATGTCGGAGAGTTGAAATAAGCGTCAATCTGGAGATTCTCGAACATGTTAATCTTTCAAACTGTAGCTCAATCCATGTGTCTTTAGGAATTGGACACATGTAGTGCATGGTTGTTGTCAATCTGTGTCGTAAGGTGTGAGTTAAGTCTTGTAATGAGCGCAACCCCTGTGTTTAGTTACCACTGTTAAATTTAGACCCTAGGCAGACTACATATGATGTTCTTTTAGGCACGCGCTTTTAATCATTCTAAAAACATTTTGCAAACGATCATACATTTTTCACTTAAAAGCAAAGTGCTTCCCTTGTAAAGTCTAGAGCTTTTGTGCTTCCATAGTAAAGTCTAGAGCTTTTCACAGTAAACAAAAATGGCGTCTCAGCTGCAGAAGATCGAAGGAGACGAATCTGTACTGCTCCGCGTAACACATTCCAATCTCAAGACCTTCTCCGCCGACATCCGCTTCTCCCTCCAGAGCTCCGTCGAGTCCGTCAAGGACAAGCTCTGGCGCAAATGCGGCACCTCCGTTGATTCCATGTCCCTCCACCTCTACGACGACGCCAACACCCTAGTCTCCACTCTCACCGACAACTCCAAACCCCTCGGCTTCTATTCCCCTCACGATGGGTCAGCTCTCCCTCGCCCCCTCTCTCTCGCATGTTATTTGTTAATTGTGATTTTTTATCTGGTTGCATTCTGGATTAGTGAGATTGTTGCCTACATCATGTTTGATAAAATGCCGCAATGAATGTATGTTAGAGAAGTATAAGAATATGAACAGACAAGTTGATGTAAAATTGTAATACAAAGATCAATTTGGTGTATATTAAATCGAAACTGAATCGAGGGTATACAAAAAGGAGAAAGAATTGAAAACTGACTGTATGAATTGATAGGGGCTTGCAGAGCGTGTTACAATGCCCTTGTAGACAGAATTTCACCTCTACTTTGTCGATGTCCACCAGAATTACTTTATCGAATTCAAGTTCCTAGCACATGTATTTTTCTCCGAAAATATAATGAGAGCGCGCCTTATCTATTGATTAATTAATCATCCCGTTTCTAAGCCACATGGACGATGGATCCGTCCACGGTGATTGCTTTACTCTAAATTACTATGTCATATTGACATAGACGTATGAAAGAGATGTTGATGAGTTGCTCTCATCAATGTGGGACAATAGCACTTTTAATTTTCATTCGAACTCCAACAATGTAGAATATGATTTGGTGATTCTTTTGGTTGGCGATCTCTCTAGGTTGGCCAGCTACTCAGTCTGACAAAGTGATACCAATGTTTGTTAGAAACTACTGGTTCACAGTTGCATTGTTTTGTTAGTGAGACCAATGTTTGTTAATTGTGATTTTTTGTTTGTTTTATGTGTTTTCGAAATCGAAAGATTCCGGCTACATGTTGTAGACTTGGATCCTTCGTCGGTGACCTCCGGGGGTTGGCTGGAGGACACATCGTTGGTGGAGAAGTACACCATTTCACAGGAAGCTTATGAGAAGAGGGACGGTGAGAGTTTCCCGATATATTTGTAATTTTATGTGAATAATGTCTGTAAAATGTGTGTTTTTATTTAGTTCAATGAATATTCTTACTGTTTTGTCTGAGGGTCCGTATTTCCGGGGTTTTGTGATCAGGTACTTTCAGAAAATTTAAGGACAAATTGGTGTCGCAGAACCCATCAGCAGTTGAGAACAAAGTAAGCCTTTCCTATATATGTTATCTATTCCTTTTGTAATCAAATTATACCCCATTGCTTCTACTGGTGTTTGCTAATCATGAATCAAATTGAGTTGCTTTTGTTGTTAGTCAGCATTGCATGTGGAAGTGAATGGATATGTTGATAAGTTTGTTGACAGAAGTTTCTGTTTGTAGATACCAGAGAACTACATGGAAGATCTCTGTGTGAATATTAAGGTCCGGACTTTTCCCATTTTACTTATTGGCAAAACAAGCATTTTCAGTCCTTTAAGATGAACCTATAACATTTTATAAGTATGATAATGAACTTAGATATGCGGAATAGATGATGGAAAAGAAGAAGCTTAAGAAACCAATAGATTCTGATTGCAGCTCGAGTAAATTTTTTTTAAGACATTAGTCTCTTTTTATATATTCATATCAGTACTTGATTTTTTGTGGAATCACACTGCACTTTAATGAGCTGAAGATTCATAGATCATGCAGTAAAATCTCTCTTTCTTTGAATATATAATTTATATGTATACTTTCCTGGTGGCCATAAAATCTATGAAATTTGATCCCAAAGGGTTAAAGTTTGTAGAATTGAAGTCTCCATGGAGTTATTCATAATATTGTGCCATTAAGGGTGATGGTGTAAGACTAATCTCACCTTTAGAAACCCGAAGAAGATGAAGTCATAGTCGACTTTAATGGTCAGCTTCTCCTCTCTTGCAGAAACAATATGCTCGATTTACAATAGGTCTAAGTCCAATAATGAGCGTCATATTCTGTGAGAGCAGTGACCACTATTTATATGGAAACAATCCTTGTGATTTCCCTATTAAAATCAGTGTAGGAAACTGACAGACAATTCCAATCCAACTATGAGTGCTAAGTATCAAGATTTAATTAAAGTTTCAATCCCAAACTGATTAGGACAACTTTAAACTCTTTAACAAGACCTTTCCATACCAATTTCTAATACAATAGCCGGTTTCTAGCACCCACAATCATTCTCATATTCTAACAGATTATTCTTCAAACCTTGTTGGTTTCAAGCATTAGCGTCTAGGCGGATCATTTTTGAGATGCAGTTGGCATTTTCTTCAGCATTCAATATGGAACATGAACTGTAATTTTATATGAATAAATGAACTTTTTTATACTATTTTTTCTTTCTTGTGTTCTTGTATTTTGTCTAGGAGTTGAGATAATTATTGCTGTCTATAATCTTCTTCAAATTACATGTGTTAAGTTTCAATTTATCTTGTCTTATTTCTTGTGGACCAATAATCATGATTGTCTTAGCTGCCTTCATTTATATGTTGAAGGTCGGAGATAGATGTGAAGTTGAACCAGGGGCTAAAAGAGGTGTTGTTAAATATGTCGGTCGGGCAGAACCTTTGGGTCCTGGTTTCTGGGTTGGAGTTCAATACGATGAACCTTTGGGAAAGCATGATGGCATGTAAGTGAGCTCCTAAATCATGAGAAGTCTTTTTGGTTCTCATTTACCAATAATAAATATTGTCAGTTTTCTTTTTGTGTTCCCAACATATTTCTCAGTTATAAAATTTAAAATGCTTTTGGGAATTAATCTTGCATTCCTGTCGTCTGCATATTATTTGTTTGACATTATTCCTCTTCTTCATGTGATAGGGTGAAAGGAACGCGTTATTTCAGTTGCCCCCCACTTCATGGTGGAATGGTTCGGCCAGAAAAAGTAAAGGTTTGTATGCCTTACTCTGGACACGCTTTAAAATGTTTTCTTTTTCCTCCTGATTTCCCTGTAAAATGTTTTCGATTTGGTTATTTGGCAAGAAATAGGAATGTGTTTGTTTTAAACTTTAATACGACCTGTTAGCTCATGTTGCCACCCATCTGTGTGCTTGGAATAAATCCCCTTGTCATGACGAAAAAATTAACTAAGCCAAGATGACAAACACAAGGGAATACCAAGATACATACTTCAGCAAAAACCAGCCTACGCCCCCGACTAGCTTTCACCTTTCCTAAATAAACTTGTACAAAATAATGGTCAAGAACTACTCTCAAACCCGAGCCCTTGCATCCAATATGGATACCCCTTGTACACCTTCTCTCAAGTCGTAGAAGTATACTCCTTTCTCCAGTTCTCCCTCCACCAACTGACCTTTTCTTCTCAAAAGAAAACCTTTGACTTGAATCAGGAATGAGGCAGAAGCCTCCATAACAGTCACATACGTGATAAAAAGTTACTGAAAGCCACTTTGTAAATATTCACCAAAAAGTTTTGGCCACCATGTTTCCACATTTTGTATGCCTGCATACTCTCTGTATCTGATTCTTCACAAGTTGTTAACACCATTCTGGTGCAAAAACCGTTCCAATCTGAAATGTTAAATGCAATTATTTTAAATGACCTAGAGAAAGACCCTGCTTATGAATTGAGAGGATTTCTTTACAACATGGCCTTTTTGTGTATTCACTGTACGACTTCTTTATGGATTTGACTAATGTGATTAGTACACTTTCAGGTTGGCGACTACCCTGAACGAGATCCATTTGAGGAGGATGAAATTTAGGCAGGTCTTAAGGAGAGTACTTATGTACTTCATGTTTCGGCCTGACCCTTTAGAAGCAATCATGTTTAAGTTTCCTTAATTACATTTGTTTTAGTTGTAATTTATCAGGAGCGAGTTATGCGTGTGAAAAATCCTTTAGAGTGTTCAAGGCAAGGGAAAAGTTGTTGAGGTTCCTCAAGGGTCGGAGCAGAACCTTCGTTTTGAGTCTGCCACCCGTAGTAGGTTATTACTGGAATGCTTGCCTTGCAGCTTGTTGGGAGGAAATCTGGGGATAAAAGAGGGTAAAGAAACAATGGTCTTGTCGAGATTCTTCGGATTGGGTTTTCTTACAACTGTGTGAAGAGTTTGCCAACTGGAGTTGGAATTCATTATTTGTGATGGGATTATAGGCTGCTATGAATGTGAAGTGGTTTAGTTGTTATCATTTACTGTGTTTGGGATTATTGAGTTTGTGAATATACATAAAAAAAATAACTAAAATAAGTAAAAAATTTGTAAGTGTCGCGTAGCGTGCATGATTAAAAAATGCATGTTGTGTGGGCTTAAGCGTGTGCGAAGAGGCTATTAACAATTAATTGGGTATATATATGGCCATAGTGTATAACCCTAAACCTTAATTCTGCCACAGTTCGCCCCGGTGACATCCTAAAAATATGACCCCTTCCGTTGGTATACAAGTAGAGGAATGCAGCGGAAAAAACATTGGTGCGAAAATCATTATGCCAAAATCATCTGGTTCTTACAAGGTCCTTGCCCAAACACGAGGTCGAAGTTATGAATTCATATCATTGAGTGAGGATCCTCATCGAATCTTTTTTGTGAGGATTATGGAGATTTTCAAATCACATCCGTTCATCATACAGTCGTACGGTCAGAAATTATTATAAATTTTTTTGTTTAAAATTGAATATAAAGAGTATTTGACGAAAACTGACAGTACGAAATACGATGAACGAATGTGATTGAAGGATCCAGCAAGGATCCTCTCTCCATATTATTAACCCTTATGTCAGTTTATCTGTCAAGTTAGCAGAATGAAAAGTGTAAATGTAAAACAAAAAGTGACAAGTACTATTCAACAGTTAGTAGGCAAATATGATTTGCGTGGACAGGTTAACAATAGTCCGACCTTAGCTCAGTTGGTAGAGCGGAGGACTGTAGTTGTATAAAACAGACATCCTTAGGTCGCTGGTTCGAATCCGGCAGGTCGGATATTTCTTCCTTTTTTTCTTCCCCTTTTTCAATTTCCTTATCAACGCTCCGAACCCCCGATCGCTGATTGCTCCCTCTTTCTCTCGCTCGCCATACATCTTTTTTACCCTTTCTCTCTCTCGCCTGAACCAGTCCCTCTTCTCTGCTCTGCTCTGCTCCTAACATGGTAAACCCATCGGATCTGTGAGCTCATTTTTTACTTTCTCACTCTCTGTTTGGTTGCTGGAAAAGTGTGTAACGGAGTCGCTTCCTCGGCGGCCAAGCAGACCCTTAAGGAAAAATTTGAGATCATTAAACCAAATTTGCATGATCTCTTGGGCATATAATTCGCTTAATTTCCATTGAAATTGTTGTTTTTGCAGTTCCTTTATACTCTGACAAGTTTTTTTTTTTTTTTTTTTTTTTTTTTTTTTTTTTTTTAATTCTTTCTCCCAGTCGAACTCATTGCGATTGTACTTGGCGTGTATAAGGAACACTCTCGATGCCGCATTGTGTCTACAGGTAGGTCTTCACATTTACGGTCCAGTTTTATGCGAAAGCCGAGCCCTTTTAGCGTTGTTAATTTCTGTAGAGCTCTGATTTCTTCTCTACCTACCTGTTTTTCGTGTTGAGTATCTGTTATGTTTATGTGTAAAATTAAAAGAATTGGGCAGATTACACTTGTGTTAGTATTCAGATGGGAATTGGTGAATTTCCACATGCTTTTAATGCCTGATTTGATTCTGTATCGTGTGTGCGTACGATGCGTTGTTTGCAGAATTTTCCTTGTCAAGAAGTTGAAAGGCATAACAAGCCGGAAGTTGAGCTGAAGTATGTTCACTTGCTGCCGCATTAAATTCTTTAAATTCTTAATTTTAATGTTTTGTAATTAGTATGAGAAAACGAGCTGCTTAAATCTAGTAAGGTGGCCAGTAGAGAAATGGATGTCTGTAATTATATGCTATTAAACTAAGTTTTGTCACAATGAGGCTTAATTCATTACTGTTTACTGCTTTTTTGTGTTTTAAGAAATATCTAGATTAGTCGTTTTGTATGACAAGTTAACGCAAAGTTTACTGGTAAATGATGTAAGGAAATCCGAGTGAGACTATTTGGATATCCGAGTGAGTCTATTTGGATATAGTGCCATTATCAGTTGAGAAATCCCATTCCCTACATTGTCAATAGAAATTAAAACATGAGCAGTCCTATCGTGGAAGGTTTTCCTCATTGTGCTACCCTTTTTTTTACAGGCATAATAAACACATGCCTATTGTGTATTGAGTTTACCCATAATTCAGAATTTATGTTCTTTTTGGCGGAAGTTTTATTAAAACTAATCCAAATATATAGTACAAGATGTCCTCCCTAGGAAGACTATTGCGTTTCCTATGCCTCACCATGTCCTTTAGTGATTCTTTTGTCCTTCAAATTTTCACTTTTCATGTTTTTGCATGTATTTGTAGTTTTGTACACATTTAGTAAGGTCTTATGAGAACAATTGTGTTGCTCACTATAAAATGGGTGGTTAAATTCGAAGGATGAAAGAAACTAGAACTATTGACTAATCTGTTTAGCCGAGAAAGTGTTAATCTTCTCTTAATGTTTTGCAGGACCAGCTCGGAACTTCTGCTAAATCCTGTAAGAACCATCCTTTTGGCATGATAAAGATCAGTCGCCGCCACCCTCTTTTTTTCCTGTCCTAATCTTAAAGCTTAACAAAGTTGGTTGTTTGCCTACATGTAGATTCTAATGCCTTGCACTATGTCAGGATTTACAGCTTTTCTTTTCTTCACATTTTTTCTTTCTATGCCTACTTTAAACACGGCAGAAGTTGTGGAATTATTGTATGAGTTAGAGATTTTGGCAAGGATGCTTCCCTTTCATTCCCAAACTTTATTAGTGACCTTTTTACCATTTTTGTGACGAATTCAATGTCAAAAAAATATGGGACTTAAGCAAATTAAATATGGAAAACTTGCTGTAGCTAATGACCTGGAAATTGTCATGAGCATAGATTTCTTAGTAAATCTCCCCACCCTCTACCTTATATGCTATTCTCGATAGCTCTACAAGATCTTTCCTCTATACAGTTGTGCCTATTAAAGGTGCAACTTCTAGACTTCATAGCTTATGGTAACATGATGTTATAGTTGTCATTGAACACATGAACTCTGATGAGCCAGATACTCCTAAAAAGAATATGATGGATATCTTAAGCTCATGTTACCAAGATTTCGTTATTTTTTGTTTCCGTAAATATATGTACACTCAGCTTTTTGTATTATTGCTGTCACAGGTTTTGATATGTCGAAATGAGGCTGAAAAATGCTTAATAGAGACATCTATAAATTCCCTTCGGATAAGCCTCAAGGTGAATATACTTTAGTATGTAGTTGGTATGCTTAATAGCAGATGTTCGCTTGGACAGTGTTGTTGTGTTTTGTTTACCGTTTTAACATTGACTCTATCTTATAAAAAAAGCCAGAAGCTACGGACTGAATTGGTGCTCCGAGTTTGTAATCTGTGTACTGTCTAATTTTTAGGATAGATTACATTCTTGCCTGCAAGATTTGTAGTTGTATATAGAATTGATATCTATATCCCTTTTTATTTTCCCCTTATCTCTCTGTTTTTTTTCGGGTGCTCTCTCTTGTATAGGTAAAGCAGGCAGATGAGCTTGAAAATATACTCACTAAAAAATTTCTTAGATTTTTGTCGATGAGAGCAGAAGCATTTCAGGTGTTGAGGAGAAAGCCAGTGCAGGTACATTAATTCTTTTGTGCATAGGACAATATATTATGTAGATGAAGTCCCCAAATTACTCAAGCCTTTTTTTTTTAATTGTACCGTGCAGGGTTATGATATTAGTTTTCTTGTAACAAATTATCATTGCGAGGAGATGCAAAAGCACAAGCTCATCGATTTCATTGTACAGTTCATGGAGGCAAGCATTTTTCGAAACCCTATAAAATTCCATGCTTAATAGTGTTTTATATCCGTACGAGTTTTGAGTCACAAAATAACTGGTCAATTTCTACATTTGAGAATACCAATTGCCTCTAGTTGGGGTGGCGTAGGCTGTTTTTGGAGCATGCAAATTTAATCTCTGGAGCAAGTTTCTTATCGTTACACGGCTTGAAACTCGTACAATATTATTGACGTGTACACGATTAATAGTGTATGTTTATACGAGTTTTGAGCCGTATAACGTTGTGTTCAAATTGTTAACTCCATTGCTTCTTTGGGTTGCAGGATATTGATAAGGAGATAAGTGAATTAAAGATGTCAGTGAACACCCGGGGGAGGCTGGTCGCCACAGAGTTTCTGAAACAATTTATGTAATATTTCTGTCTCCAAGTTGTATATGAATTCTGCTTTCACATACGCTGTTGAACCATCAGACAGTTTTTTCTGTTACCGTCTCATAACGGTTTGCCAATGGTATGAAAGAAGCTTTGGAAGTGAGTTGGTTTACATAGCCCATATGACCAGTATTATCTATGTTATAAATAGGTTTTTCGTTTTAATCACAAATAGTCCCTGTAATTACACAAACGCATTTATTCACTCAAGTCAAAGACCGAGATGTTCATTGATGTCGTCTTTTTTTTCTGTTTAGATTTCGTCAAAACGTGTTCGTGTTTTCACGGACTTCGGTTTTGATTCTGTCATAGTTTGTTTGTGTGCTCAGGTTCCACGCGTGGGGCGAATTGACTGTTGAGTATTAAGATTCTCAACTTTCTTTGTTTTTGAATATTTTATTAAAATATATGTTTCATGTGTGTATAATTGTTAGTCTTCTAAGTTCTAACATAACAAAAAAGTTAAAAAGGCAGCCGCGTAATCTCACAAACAAAATTTTAATGTTTTTTATTTAAGTCTCACTACAGATGATTTTAACGTCTCTAATTTTCTTTAATTTTTAAAGATTAGAAAAAAAAAAGAATTAAACCTCTCTCTCCACTCCCACGTACTCTTTCACTCTCTTCTCCTCTCCTTTCAATAAAAACAAAAATAAAAAATGTTCAGTTGCGTTGTCTGCCTTTTGCCTCCCGTTATTACAAATCTGTCTATTGTTATAATATAATGAGTTTTTTTTAGAATAGTAATAACAATTCTAATAAGTAAAACAAGAAAAAGGGCCAATTGCTATATAAACGTGTGACAAGAAGCTAGTATTTTATAAAATCTCAGGTATAATGTACAAATATGTCTTGACTGAGCTGATACCTATGAAAAGCAACTACATAAGTTAGTTCTTTCTTTAAGTACATATATACATACACTTTCCAGAATTTATCATTATACATACAACAGCGACTCGATTCTTCACTGAACCATAACAAGTCCTGCTAGAGTTAGTATATCGTGGCACGCCTGATCGTAGTTGCTGCAACGCAAATTCCAGCAAACCAACCGGACTAGCACATCGGTAGGATATGACACGGATACGCTAAAATCTGGTCAAATGAGAGCAGCAACTCAAGATGTAGTTGTATAAAAGCATAGCTGCTGCAATTGTACCAAAGCAGAGCAGGGATCACTATGTACCTTTCTGTTCTTGTATCTACACATGCTAGTAAAACATGTACCTGCTGAACTGAACTTTGGATGCAGCCCAAAGCCGATCAGTCACATGGGGGCCGGCTTATGAAGCACCGTCACGACAGCAGGAATAATTCCTTGTGATGCTTAGGCATCGAAAGATTCAAATGCAGCTTGCCCGACTGACACAATTTCACAGGGTTCTTGTATACCGAGACCCTTGCAGCATTATTACCCAACAAAATGACATGCAAAATGCTGAAAGCTTCACCTTTTTCAACTGCGAATTGCCACTCCCTCATTGATATGCGAAACCAATCTTTTGTCCGGAACTGGGTTGCTTTAACTTCAATGAACTCTGTACTATCTTCCTTCTCCCTTATAACTATGTCATAGGGAAGCCCGGTTTCGTTACATTCATTGACCCACTTCACAACAGACTTTCCAGCTTTTGCTATCAAGTATTTAAAAGCAACAAGCTCACCTAGTCTACCGGTCAGCATCGCATCTCTTCCATCTCTTCCACTGGATGTACCAGCATGTCTAGGTTGGTCTCTTTGGCTAAAACTAGACGAACGCATCTCGGGAGGGTCAGAAACAAAACCTAAGTTAATAGGATCAAATTCAATACGCATTCTATTGTCAGTCTCATTGCAAGCTGCACCACAATGTTCTTGCAGATCATTGAAGTCTGGCATGACTAAAGCTGCAGATGTCGTTGCTGAATCATCTTCAATGGTCCAATTAATGTCAACTGAACCTGGAGTCAAATTATCCAACTGTCCGATAATGCCACCAGAATCATCATGCATTTCTTTTTCCAAGGCACTGCTAAACTGTGCAACCGGTGCAGTTTTCCAATCAACAGGTGGCCACTTTATTGCTTTCCTTTTGGATTTTGAACAGCTTTCCTCATTTATTTCTGTCGAAGTTACACTACTTTGGAGTGACTTGTAATTGTCTGTCAATGAACGCACTGATGGCAGGGACCAAACAGATTCTCCGCCAGAAAGTTTTGGCACCTTTTGGCTGTTCAAGATAAAAAACTCTGTCTGCTCCTCAGTTGAACCTGATTCAGCCATGATTGTGATCATATGAAGGAAATTTGCCAAGTGTAATTCTGGAATTCCGTCAAAAAGCAAACGTGATAGCTCCACAAATAATGCGTGTGAATCAGGCTCTTGGTTCGTATACAACGTGCTACCCTGTATTTATAAGATGAAAATAATTATGGCTTTGAAAGAGAGTTTCCATGTCCCCATTATGCAAGTATCACAAGTGCTTGGTACAAAATCTTCCGAATTAAAAAAGCATAACCATCAACTATTAGAACATGATATGATTTCAAAGGCTAATTTGTTAACATTATAATTATCAGTATTTTGAAGGGCTAGGCATAGGCGCATCATGAGGAAGGCAGTCGAGAATCTCCTGACCCGTGCCTCCATTTAGAAGTTTCCTAGGAACGCAAACGCCTGACTGTGGCCAAGTTTTGTTAATCGTTTCGCCTTTCACCTAACAGTCTAATTTTGTGTCCTAAAAAAGGGCATGTATAGCCACTTTGTCAGGTTTTAAGAATGAAACCGAATTATGTACCCCCTTTTCTCTCCTTCCCAAGTAGAATGCCAAAACAAATTCTGTACCCTCTTCTCTGTCTGATCCAACTCCCAACTCTCTCTTGACGCCGTCTTAAATAGCTTCTCCTCCAACTCAAGGTCTCTTTTCCATTCTCCACAACATGGCGGCGATAACCTAGAAATTTTACCTCAATGCTAAATGATTGCTAATGTTTCTTAAGCTCCCAGACTTAGTATATGCTATTCATTCCACAGTTTGTTTTAAGTTTTAGTTAGTAAACTTTTTAAATTAATTAGCTTAAGTCCAAAGGATTATACCTCAGCACTTACGCTTACTGCTGGCCTTTCAAACCATTAGTAAATATAGTGATCCCAACCAACTTCTGAGTCAGTTTGCATTTTGGTGTAAGCATATAGGCATTAGGAACACACACACACACACACACGCACTTGATGAAAGACAAAAGAGAATACCTGCAGCAGACAGCTACATCTAAGCCTCTTCTTGGATTTAATTCCGAAACTCTTTATAACGTTCTGATAAAACAGCTTTTCAACAACTACTACTTGTAGACGATTTACTATATCAAATCCAAAGTGCTTGAGTTGTGTATATTTATCAGGGTGTACACTTTGTAAGTAGCGTTGTGCATATGGAAGAGCCCAATCCAGCAATGCAGCTTTAAAGCTACAATCTCCCAGACCGGAAAATAATGCCTGACGAGTTACAGCCTGCATGCAAATGCACAAAGTGGAAAGATAACAATTACATTTCTATCAAGTGTACACTGTTTCATCTATTTATTTTCTGCATTAATTTTGCAATATATGAAATCCTAAATCTTGTAACAACATATCTTTTTACAATGCAGATAAGCGGAGGGTTTCTTCAAACAACAAGGAGCTGGGTCAACTATTCAATCAAATGAAATGGAGCATGTTTTCTCATATAACAATATAACATAGTAACAATGCATGGGCAGATGTAAAAAGTACAACGTTTAAAATTCTTTTACTTCGAACTTCAAAGCATATTGCTAATGATTCAGAGACGCACACAAAACCAAAGATATCTCACCTCTGAGAGTGCAGGAATCCCTAAAGCTTTCAAGAGAATGGAAACTTTCTTAAATAGCATCTCTACATCATCGTGACTTAGTTCACCGAAGTATAAAAAATGAACGCCATCCAAATGCGTAAACTGCTGTCTTAACATCAAATCATCACACCAGCAGACAAATCCAAAGGAAGGATGTAGAGAAACCCACTTATCTTGCACAGTAGGAAGCACCGTGCATTCAATCTTCGTAAGAGACCTTTTCAGATAAAGAATATCTTCAGCACTTGATCCTGACTTCAACCCATCAGTCCATTTGAGGAGAACTTGAAAAACCTGCAACAAGGAACTCTTACATCACCGTGTAGCTTGCACTAGTTATAATATTTCTACAAACTCGATTACTTACAGCAATAGCTGCTTGTGAAGGCAAAGCAACATTTGATAAATCTAACAAAATCTGAAGGTAGCTCCGAAAAGGTGGGGTCTCATGTACTCCAAAGTGACCAACAAAGAAGTCATGAAGGCCTGGGTAGAAATTACGAAGCATCTTATTTAAGGGGATGTGATTGACAGCTGTTGAGCTGCACACAGGACGGACAGCTGTTGAGCTATACTCAGGACGGACCGCCTTGATAAAGTTAGAGGAATCATCCCAATATACTTCTTCAGGGGACAAAAATACACCAGACACCACATCCTCGTGACTGAAGCCAGATTGATATGGAACAAATATGGAAGGTCCAGAATGGAACTCGTCCATAATTATCTGCTTTGAAGGAGCCATTTCATTCCAAACTAATGAGTAAAATTTGAACATTTGTGCTAGGCTGAGACAGAAGACAAGGAAGTGTGGTTCAATATGGGCACAAGCAAGGAAATTAACAAATAAAAGAATAAAGGAATGCGAACATACATGAATCTCACATGTCAAGCATCAAAAAAAGAAATTGAGAAACTTTTTATGTGGAATTTTCTTATCACACTTTGGAAACTGTACAGAATAGCACAAAGTCTCACAAGTCTACAATCAATAGAGGTCAAGACCAAGCTTGGAACAGAATGCACTAGTTCTGATTTTATTTAATAAGAAAAAGACATCTTATCCCTGCTGAAAAAGCTTTAGAAAACTACATTGAGAGAATACGATGACTTGGTAGAGATAAACATAAGGTAAAAATGTAACACCCCCAATTGAGATTTAGAAAAAATACCCCTTTTGGGAGGCCGAAAAAGACTTTTGCCCCCTTTTTAAATTTTATAGACTTTTACTGTTTTTAGGTGCGAAAAGTCTTAAGTGCCCTTATACCTAGGTTTAATTGTTTTCAGTCTCCCTTAAATTGCTTTGAAACCCTAAGTGTTCTGAACAAGACAAAGTCTGTAAACTGTCCCACTTCCTCATGAATTTCTCTCACTGATCAACTACCTGAGAACGATCGTGCTTTTATCTCTCACGTAAAACCAAAGAAAAGGCAAACTTACGGCGTCGCGCCTCTTTCCAGGTTCACCAACGAGTAGTCACCTCGACGAGAACCCACCACCCACCACCTTCCTCCTCCTCCCTTGAGGGGATGTTGAGAAATGTTTGCAAGATCTCTTGAGGTGATGTTGAGAATAACTTGAGGGTTTTTCGAGGAGATGTTGAGAAAAGCTCGAGGGTCTCTAGAGGGGAGAATGTCAAGAAAAGCTCGAGCTGTCTCAAGAAAAAAAATACAGGGCCGCCGTCTTGCTTAGTGGGGGCGTCGATTCAAGTGTCGCTTCCTACCTCCTCCACGCTGCCAGTCACTCCTTCACTACCTTGTACCTCAAAATTTGATTCTAATTTTCTTCTTAATCTCAAACCAATAGATCTGAAATTTATCCCTATCTATTTTGTTGTCCAATTGTTCAATATATATATATCCTTTGTTGCTTTGGTATGGATCTTTTTCTTGTGTTAATTTCACTTTCATTGACGGATGAAAATCAAAAGTGCAGCAAACTCCAAATTTTTTATAAGCATAGATTATAGTGTGATGGTATAACTCCAGGACAAAGTCAAACTACCAAAAAGGTACAACAATAATATGAACTTTGTGATGGAAACTCGAAACGTTTATGCTGGTCAGTCGTAGAAACAGAAGATAGATAAGAATAATGAGAAGAAGAGGCATTTTGTTTGCCTCGTTCCAGGTAAAAAGGGAAACAGGTGTGTCACCTAGGTAAAGTGTTGTGTCACGGGCTCCATAAGTGTCCACTACTAAGGCTGCCATGCACCAACATTGTCCCACTTAACCACCTAAGCCCAATATCCTGGGTGGTATCAAGACCAATGGACCTTTGGTGTGGAGTTTTATCTCAAAAGGCCTCGGGGCAATTAGAAGTGGAACACCTATATTTAAACCTTAGATTAATGTTGTACTTCTCCGATGTGGGATTCCCTTCACATCCATCTTGGCTTGTATCAAGCCAAACTTTTACACCAATAATAAGGGCACTAAAGTTTTTGTGCATGCAGAAAAGGGCAGAAATCTATAGAACTTAAAAACAGGAGCAAAAGACTTTTTAAGCCTCCCTAAAGGGCATTCTTCCAGTTTTCTCAATACCCTTGTGACCGAAAGGTCACCGGTTCGAGTTGTGGAAATAGCCTCTTTGCAAAGCAAAAGTAAGGCTGTGTACAATAGATATTCCCCCAACCCTCGCAAAGTGGGAGCCTTTTTGGCTCGGGGTTGCACTTTCTTTGTATTCCCATGTTTTTCACTTTCATCCATAATGAGGCTCACGGAAATGGGGTAGAGGAAAACCTAAGAAGACATATAAAGAGGCTATAAGAAAAGATATGGAATACTTGGATCTAACATAAGACTTGGTGCAAAACTGAGCACAACGGTGTTCAAGGATTCATATAGCCGACGCCACTTAGTGGAATAATGCTTGCTTAGTGATGTTGTATCCATAATGAGGAATAATGGTTTAAACTACCATTTAACTCCACTGGATAAAATTGCTTTTTATGACGAAATAAAACATAGCTAAAGCGATACTTAAGAACTCATAAATAAATCTCTTTAAAAATAAGTAGAGACTTTGCCAAGACGCGAAAACTAAGAATCACACAATCATTTGCTTTATTAGCCCCACCAGCATGGTCTTCAGAGGAATTCTAATCCGACATTAACCTAGACCCAGTAACCTGTGGCTGACATCGGTGATCTTTGCTAAAGTTTAAGTTTAACAAAACATAGTGTATGCTTACGTATTTTATTTTGATCCAGTTTCACTGATGATAATGGTTAACCCTGAAAAGGTAGATTAAGATACAAAATACCAACGACTGCACTTCCAGATAAACGAGGGAGAAAAAAAGTAATCAAAGCATACCTGGCCCTGAATGGTTTCTCACACCTCCAGAGTTTCAAAATCTCAAGAACATCGCCAAGAGAGATTCTTGTCTTAAACCCAATATCACTTGCAAACTTTCCACTTCTCACCTGTTTCAAAGAGAAAAAGGTAGCACAATCAACAATACAGGAATTTTTAAACGACTTTAGAGACTTCAACATAGCTGAATCTGTGATTGATAACAGTGAGATGAATAATGGACAACAAAAAGTCTGTATAGTTTAAAGCTTGTTACTGGTTATTTGGTTTGAAGCTTGTTGTATGATACATCCTGCATTACAATAGCAAATACTGCAGCAGATGTCACACAACTTACAAACAAACAAAAAATATTTTTGTATTAATGAGTTAATTACATATATGTTCTCTCTCTCTCTCTCTCTCTCTCTCTCTCTCTCTCTCAAAGAAAAGAAACTTTCGGATTTTTTTGTTTTTTGTATCTTCTCACACTTACGAGGAAAAGTACATGACCTAATGTTGAGAATATAATTCCCACATCAGGAATTCCAATTTCTAAGCATTGCAATGCAACTTATGAAATCCTGGGTTCTCCACAAATTACCAATTAGTCAACATCACAACTGTAACAGTCTCTTGAGATCATATTTCTATGACTACAAACATCCCAATGTGTGCTGCTTTCATGTCTAGAGCTCACTAGCAATGAGGAAAAACCCACACATGTGGGGAAGTGTTAGAATATCAAAACAGATGTTCGCTCACGTCCTGACATCATACACTTCTCAGAACAGTTGTAAAGTTAACAATCAAAATTATTGCTAACTTTGCATCATAGCAAACAATTTATCTACGTCTGAGACTCATCTTTACCAGAGGTGTTCTGTGTCACCCAATATAATTAATGTATATGTTTTTCCCAATCTGACCACAAGGGAGGAATGCCCAATCAAATAAGAGAATCTAACTAATAAGGGCTTAAGAAACTTTTGGATTACCCATAAACATTTGTCAATTTTTTTTAACAATTAAGGGCATAGTTTAAACTTTCTCTAACAATTAAGAACATAGTCGATGTAGGCAACTCACGTACCAACACTAGGGATTTTTTTTACAGGTTTTGTCCTTGGTTGTAAAAACAAATTTACCACAAGTTATTAGGAAAGTTAAAATTTTTGGCAGGGGCCTAAATGTCAAACTCCCTTCAAATATTCCAAGTCTTGCATGTCAGTGTATAAAATCATTGGCTTTTCCAACAATTGATCCACGGTTCGATGCTCCAAATTTAACATCTTAGAACTGGAACATCTTTTTTCCTAAATTTCTCAAGCTAGTTAACGATTACATGGGTCAACTTAACAAGAAAAATCATATAAGAAAAATAATACGGTAAAATCCCTTTAAAGTCATAAAGTTGGGACCAAACTAATTTTATATCTTTAAAGCGGTTATTACTTAGTAGAGGTATAGTTAAAAAAATATTATTTAGTGACTTATTTATCCTTCATGAATGTTGTATTTCCTAAATAAGATTCTTAATGACGATAGTATGGAAATACCAAAAGTTTCATACCAAGAAGCTATAAACATGCTCGAAAAGTTAGAGACATTTTTGCTTTAACAAGAAAGTGTCCATGTTGACGAAGTATTACATACGCGCAAGCTCAAAAATGTGGCATCAAATCTAAAAACTAAAGCATTGTCTCAAAGAATAGAGAAATATTTAGTTCGTCTTAAACTTTTATTTGTGATATTGCAAATTTTTGTGCTTGTTGACAATTATTACCATGTGGCTGTGTGTTTCCTTAACATGGGAGTCGGTTAGAGAGGTTTTGTATAGATTTCATATAGGGGAGAAAAGGATGCAATGAGGACTTACATTTAGACATTTTCATAATGACGACGAGAGAAAAATTAGCAGCTCTTTTAACACTTCTAGAAGGAGTTTGTTTGGTGGAAATGAGAGGGGATAAAAGGTGGTGGAAGCTGGAATCATCAGGGGATTAATCATACAAATATTTTTAGGGTTTAGATAGTAGATTGGAAGACCAAATCCTCATATTATATCATCAGCTATAGGATGACGTTACTATCATAACTTTCAGTGTGGCTGCTGTTACTTTAAGATCTCTATTAATTCCTGTTTTTGTTTCCGGCTTCTGGACTTCCGGTTCACTGATAGTAAATTTTTGCTTTAATAAATTGTTTCTTTTCCAGGAAAAATAAAGGAAAGGCGAGTTTGAGTGTACCATGTTTAACTAACCTTTGGAACAGAATATGGAGCAGATGCACCCAGAATCGAGCGCACTGCATGACAGTTGTGATACAAAGTTTTTGAATAGTGAAGTTCATCATCCATTGTTGATACTACCCATTGCACATCACAGATACTGCTTATAAACGAAGATCTGAAAGGCCATCTATCAGCTACCGATTTAGAAATGCAGTAACCTGTTGTTTTATCACTGTAGCAATCATCCCATAATGTATCGAGAACCTCTAAGAGATACTCACAACCTTTTTTGTCGTCATCTCCGGATAATAGGGTCAATAACTGGACTAATTCAGGTGACTCCCAATCAGTGGCATTCAATCCATGGGAAATGATGTCCTTATTGAACATCAACTCATTCAATAAAGCATCGGATAAACTACTGATTCCTTTCTCAACTTGAACTACTTTCACAAAATCTGTAACACCAATTTTCTGGAAAAATTCCCTCCATTTCATCAGTCCACTTGGGAGTGATCTGGTGGCAGGATGCTTCAGATAGGAGATGTCAATCTCATGCCAAACCAGATCCACCCCATCAATCAATTTATTTATGTCAAATGGGTTTCCAAATGCTTTACTGAAATGAATTGATGCTTCAGCTGGTCGTTTAAAGCCGCCATTTGTTAATATATATGCTTTGTTTCCTAGTTCTGAGATTATGTATTCCCGTTCAGAACGACAATCATAGCAGTCCAACTGTAGGTGAACCATTACAAAGCAAATATAATCATTCATCAAATTCTTATCACTGTCTGTAAACCTGTCATCAGATATATCCGGCAAGATGTGCTCGTTGATAATTTCATGTGCGGATAACTGTTGGACACCGATCCTACGAAGCATACTTGTAACTTTGTCAGATGTCGTCACATCCACGGATGGCACATCAGCACATGATGCAATGAGAAAGCCAGGATTTACAATCCGAAGTTTAGCATACAAATCAGGAAAAGACTCAAGTCCATGCTGACCCTCAAACTCAGTCTTTAAGGCATCAAAATGCAACCAAATTGGGCCTTCATCCACTGCACCGTATGTACCAGTCTGAAAGAGGGATGAAAGGAATTTTTCGAAGGGTATGTATGAATTCCATTTCCATTCCCGATTCAAATGAAGCTTTGACAGAAGAACTGAATGACATTGCATAAAGTGCACTTAGCCAAGTGGCCAGCCAACTCAGTCCCATTGATTTGAGGCCATTTTGTGTATGACATAAAGAATCCATAAGTTGAAGCAGAACTTTGGGTCCATACTCACTAATACCTAGAGCTCTTGCGAGCGGATCCGGCAGAAGTATATTTTTATCCAAGAACCCAAGGCCAAGATGCTCACGCAGTAAGGCATCAGGGAGAAGCAAACGAGCCTGTTTATTCCAACCTCTTAGGACTCCGCAAGGAGGAACCCATTCATTATTTCCCCCTTCCATGAATAAGCAATTCGATGCGCGTAATTTTGCAGTAATCAATCGCGGAAGAGGAGAAAAGAAACCATGCACTTCACCCGCAAGCGGAACAAAGGACATATAGACTGTCACAGCTCTCCCGGTATTCTCTTTAAAACATGGAAGAGAACAAAATGATTTCTCTGCATTGACAAACAAATCAGGAAATTCAGACAACAGCCACTGGTTCCAGGGACTATCTCCATCTACTTCCTCTCTAGATGAAGGAAGAACAAAATCACCCTGAAGAATAAATTTCAGTCCATATGTTCTGAGAGGGAGATATGAAAAAACAGGCTGTTGGATTAGATCGGAACTGTAATCACCATTATCTGATTCCTTCAAAGTAAATGCTATTGAGATTTCTGTTGTCTGTACATCAGTACGAATGAAATCTGCTTGCAATTTCTGAGATACTACAAACCATGTCACGTTCTCTTTTCCATGTGAAATCTTAACGATACCATCTCCCACAATATATTTTCTCATGACTGTAAGGGTATCATCGAGCAAGTTTCTAAACTTTATACACTGGAGGCGGTGGAGAAAGAGCAGTAGAGATGGATGAAGATCTGAAAACATATTAATTATGTTTTTCATGACAGTTCCATCTGATACTTTTGATCTGAAAGGAAGAACAATGCAAGTGTTCCAGCTGTTACAATCCCGTTTATCATTGTCAATAGATGTCAGGCTGCTAAACAAGTCAATATTGCGAGGAGGTACAACTGTTGGCAAAATTAAACCAATCTGACCCTCACTTATATCAAACTTTATATGAAAACCATTGGAATGTATTTCTGGAGCATCTGTAACCTGCACAAAGACAACAGCATAATAATGAAACCTCAATACAAGGTATTCAGATTGTAAATTCCTTATTCAGTCATTGTAAATATTTCTTCTTTTCTAATAAAAGTTCCTGTTTCTTTTCAAAGAAAACAAAATAAAATTACAGATATGCTGAAAAGCGTAGTAGGTATGCTGAAGGCTGTAACCATGTTGAAGTGCTTTTTTGGCCTCTTTTTTGGGTGGTATAAAAGTAATAGAAGAAACTATGTAATATGGAGCAGGAGTTGACTTCCCGAGCAAACTGGATTCAAATCCTTGTTTCTTGGATGCAGTACTCGTGTTATATGGCCAAAACAAAGTTCGATGAGAATTATTTTGCGGTAAGTATTTTAGGAAGAAAAGTATCACTTGGTGAAATGGGTTTGGGTCAAAGGTAAAGGGCAAAAGAGGCTTGGTATTGGGAACTTGCCAAGGACAAATGAAGCTCACTCAGATTAGGATTTTGGAGGTTCGAACAAGAGAGTGAGGGTCTTCTGGGTTGCTGTTATTAGAAGTATAAGTTGCATGAGGATGGGCGGGACAAATTGTCCTACATTTTGATGCTTAGCAATGCTTTACAATCATAGTTGAGTAGTCGAGCTAGACCGGTGGACAACTTGCTTCCTGTCTTGAATTGTTCTTTTCTAGTGTAGGCTATTCTGACGTATTAACAATTATAAAGGTTGTTGATGCCTAGAGCAACGATCCATGATCTGGCACTAAACTTTATTCAACTTAATTACTTGCAAACTTTCAGTGAAAAAAATACAAGCCTGCGCATCTCAACAACTACACAATCAACGTGATTACGACAGAGCGGGTACATGAGAACAAAACAAACAGAAACAATGATTGAAAGCATCCAAATTTTTATGTATAACGTTTTAGAGAGAGAGAGAGAGAGAGAGAGAGAGAGACTAATGTAATTTTCACAACCTACCCGAAAAACTGATTTGAAACCAATGCCCTTCTGCCCTATGTACCCAGCATTAGATCCTTTCTTGGTTGAATTTCCAACATCACATAGTGCCCTAATGTTCTGGGCAGAAAAGCCCCGTTCATTATTCAAAACAAGAATACCTGAATCTTGAAGAATGAATGTTAGAGTTGGTTCTACATTTGATGGGTAGGTATTATCATCAGCGTTTTGAACCTGCAGCGATAAAGAATAATTAGGTGCAACTAAAACACAATAAGCATATCAGAGGATTGTTTTCAACTCCAAACTCTGATTATAGCATCAAACATATAAAGATAGTAGAAGATTCAAATTGTAATTTTATAGTATCAACAAAATATTACTGATGAAATATGCTACATACAAAAAGACCAAAGAATAAACAGATAAACTATAGAAACTCAGTAACAGTTGTCTTGCAGATATTGATGTCTGTCCATTAAAGGTAACACCACATTAGTAAAAAGGAAAATCAAGTACGTCAAGCACGCTCATTTCTAATATTCTACAGTAAGAAATCCATATGTTGAAGATCTATGCCACCTGCAGAGACAGATCACCGCCAGTAGGGATGGGAAATCTACCAATTAGCTGAAAAAATTTCTTAATGATTATAAAATTTAGGCAGGTCCAGTTTATTGGTAAAAAATTCCTCAGCCACGGTTTGACCAACCTTACCGGTCAGAATGTTTAGAATTTAAACATGCCTATTAACACTGGTATGAACCTATTAGTTGTTGCATGGGGAGAACTATGAAGTGCACTAAGCACACTGAAAGAAAGCAAAAAAGGCAGCCTTACCAGCTCAAGAAGAAAATGGGAATCCTGAGAATACAATTCCTGCGAAAGGCAATGCAGAGCTCGACCTAACCGAGCGTGCTGCTTCTTTAGGATGATACTTTCAACATTTGACAGGCTTGAATCTAGACCAAATTCATCTCTCCTGATCGACTCAATTACCAGCACTCGATCTTCCAGTTCATTAAGTTCAGTATAATGCTCTGGGTAGCCACTGACAATTGTAGCTTCGGAAGCTTCTGCACAACTAATCTTTAGACAGGCTTCAGTACATTCATCTTTTTGCTTGTCTTCCATAACAGATGCACTCATAGTCCCTTCATAAGCGGCAAGCTTATCTGACACATCTTTAATATACTTTGAGTCTGACCCCGTTTTATGCCTAACAGTGAAGCATGACGACTCAGAAATGAATGAATCAGCAGCATCATAGAACAAAATTTATGGTAATCATCAATCCATTCTATTATTCCAAGTGATAAGCCAACTTCATGAAGCATAAGCCGCTGCTCTGTTTGCTTGCACTCACCCAAAATGGCTGAAGCAGCATGTTTGAAAACAGATTGCATCCCTGAAAGCAATACATCGGCAGCAAAACTACGAAACTCTGCAGGTAGATAGCCAAGACAATCAATGACAAATCTTGATAAAACTGATTCACCGATATTCATCCGAGTTACATCCCAGTGTAACTCATTACATAATTTACTTGTCGAACCTTCACCAACCATTTGCTTTCCAGAAAAATCTTTTTCTTGATTAAGAAAATTCTTACTGCCATTTACTTCCAGAAGATGATTCTTCAAAATGACTTCAAATGCATGCTGCAGATGAAATTTCAAAAGGGACACTGGGACATGTTTTTCTCCCCCAGATAGTGAGAACAGAGATAACATTTTCACTGCTGTTTGGAAAGACGATCCTTGAAGAGCAGCTTCCAAGAATGAACCTACAGTAGATGAATGGTCTAACCGAATCACTTTTCCATCCTTCGTCACCAAACACAGCAGTTCATCAGTGTTGACTTCATTCAATAACCATAGTACAAGTGGACCAAGAGAGGGAGCAAACAAGAGGTCCCAATGTGACCATAAGTTTAAATCCAACATCATTGGAGCTCTGAGTAGGACTTGAATTGCATCCTTGGAGGTTACAGATTCATGGGTTTTTGTTTTCTTACAGTGCTTAGATGAGTCTGTCGGGTCACTAGTTCCATATAATGTCATTGAAAATAGAATACGTTTGGAAATTGCAGTGCTTTTATGCTTCTCCACTATACTCAGAAAATCTTCTACAGAACTATTTTCAATGGTTTGGAAACTAATCAATGGGAACTGCTTCCTAAGCAGTAATGGAATATTTAGTTTGCAAATTTCTTCATCTTCCCATAAACTATTTATAGCTTGAGAAACTAACACAATAAAATAATGCTGGAGCATGCAAACCTCCAAAGGACACTTCTCACTTCCGTCACCAGTCAAGAACTTGCACAGCTCATGTGGAAGTAGACAGGCATATTTTTCTAGAAACATTAGAAATTCCCCAAAACCAAGGCACCTAAATTCCTTGACACGAAATTCTTCAACCAACCAAATTTCACAATTGCAAAGCTTTCTCAAGAAGATAAATATCTTCTCCTGAAGTGGCTCACCGCTGATGCACATTCCATGATCAAATTCAAAATATGTAGCAACTTTCCTGATTATGTCTTCAACTGACACACCTGTGGAGTATAATCACAAAATACAGTAAGGCACACCAGTTCTGTGAAGGAATGCACATGTGGAAGGCCGAAAGGGTGCAAAACTGAAGGTAGGGAAAGGTACGGTGAAAAGGACAAGTTTTTACTTGAAACCAGAGACAAAATTTATTGCACAAAACTATGCCAGTACAAGGGCTGATCCAATGTCCACAAAAACAAAAACAGAAACAGGATAATAAACAAGATCAGCCTGAAACTTAGAATCTCATAGAAAACTCCACAAAATTAACTAACAGTAGCTTTCCAATTAAGAAGCCAAATCTCCAAATTCTAAGGTAACCGATGCCCTTAAAATAATATGAAATAGTATAATTTTTATACTACATATATTAGACCATTACACACAGCAAATTTGGCTATGAAGTCAGGACTTGGCTAGTCAGTGTACTCACTCAGTGTAATGGTTTTTTATTTTATATTTTATGTACGCTGGCTCATTATCAACTTTGCTTGGTAGTTGACCAATTGTATAGGAAATGTGTAGAAAACAGCGTATAATTATTTTCTTTTAATCAAACTATCACGGATAATGTCACTCCTCAACCTTCAAACCTAAAGGAGGATGAGGTTTCACCATAAATCTTATTGGCAATATGGAGAGTAGTCCAATCCTTATAACCACATGCAAGGTCCCTTAATTTCCTCATGGAATTGACGCTCTCAATATGCCCCTTCTCGTGTGGCGTCGTTTAGACACACATGGACAACACATATTGAGCACTCAAATGCAGATTACGCAATGGTAGCTCCAGAGTTTCTGGTCCTAATCACAATAGTCTTGAAAATATGGCAAAAATAAAAGTGTGTGATGCACCAGTATCTATTGCCCTAGCTTCCGGATTAAACAAAATAACCTTACCATATACCACAGCATTGACTTTCTCTTCCATCGCTTCTCCAGCAACAGCTACTTGACCACCTGCAGGTCCACATGCTACAAATTCGCATCCACTGTTCCGTGGCATTGGTGCTCTGTTCGTACTCTGTTGTGGCTGGGGATGAACTGGAAATTTCCCAACAGATCTGTTTGACCTGAGCTGGGTGCTGAACCAATTCCAAGGGATCCTCTGGAGCCAAAGATGATCCAGTCTGTTGGAAGCAGTTCTTGTGAACGTGTCCAACTTGACCACACAGATAGCAGACTTTTTTTTCAAGAGGAGATCCTCTGGATGAGCCTTTGCCCGTGTTCTTTTTCTCACTCTTTTGGATTATCTTCTGCATACACCAGACTGGCTTACCAAGAACTCTCTGACGACGTCCACGAATTCTCAGACGACGTTGATGATCCTGCTCTAGGCAGCGTGAGGCTGCCACAACATTGTCATAATCCATGGTGAGCACTCTCTGACGACGTCCACGAATCCTCTGACGACGTTGATGATCCTGCTCCAGGCAGTGTGAGGCTGCCACAACATTGTCATAATCCATGGTGAGCACTCTCTGATAACATCCATGAGTTCTCTGACAACGGCCATGATCCAGCTCTAGGCACTGTGAGGCTGGCACAAATTGTCATAATCAATGGCTTATGAGTACCGTGTAATGTTGTAATAAGCTTTTTAAATTCTTTCCAAAGAATGTCTAATCAGAATGCAGAGTTGTCTTTAGTCACTTGGCCTAGAAATAAATGATTTGTTCCTGCTTCGATATTAATGCTTCCTATCCCTTTTTTTTTTTTGTTATTCACCGAAGGATACATAGCAGAATACCTTTTTCTGCTGCACAGCAGTTATTTTGACTTACTCATGCAGCCATGCTAGTAGTCCTAACATAAAATCAATGAAGATTGAAAACATTTGAAATAGAATAAGATTACGTTATTAAAAAATAAATGGATGATGTAACAATGAACACATCATACCATGTATAAGAACAAAATCAAATTGCCCTTTCATAACAGCCATCATTTTTACTCGCTTTGCTACTCCCTCATTCAATACTTCATTCTCTAAATGTCCTTGACCTATACTGTTTCTAATTTATTTTATTCAAATCTGATAAAAGAAAAAAAATAAGCACGTAACCAAAATTTCAAGAAAGATACAAAACAATATAATAACCATTAGTAAAATATCAGACTACATAAAGTGCATTACTCACTCTGAGTATGTTGGGTAACATGTTCAGTAATGACTGGCGGTGCATCCTTAATATTTGATTCAACATCTGAGTTCAAATATTCAGAGTATTTATCAGTAGAAGTTCTACTTAATTCGTGTTGGCCAATGGATTGGGATGTATCATACATGCTATCCCACATTCCACATTTGATAGATGAGACCTGAAAAATAAGTGCACATGCAACATCAATAAGAACTAACTGGAGGAACTCAAACAAACAGCAGTAAGTTATTATTTTATCTACCTATTAATAACAAAGAAGCAAACTTACACAAACAAGTACTACAAAGCTGAAACGATTGATAGAGATAACATAGAAAATTGGAAATTGTTAAGAATGATAAATAAAAGCATAAATGTCCTCTAGAACCACAAAAATGCATTTTTAAAAAACTTTTTTGTACTACATTTATTCTTTTTCTTGTATACATAAGATGAACTTCAACAGCAGTTCTGTAACGTAATGAACTTTTCAAGGCCGTCTAAATATGCAGAAAAACTAAAAGGCAAGATACAAAGTTAAGGAAAAGCCAATGACTGATGTAGTGCCTAAGCTAACAACTGTTGCCGGCACTAGCACCATGCCTATATGTAAATTAAAATGGGAGACATGGGTAACGTTCTATTTCCAAATACTCAGGTATTATATTAATTCCCTAAGCCCTCAATAAAGAATCACTTATCACTGAATATTAAATTACAATGCAAAGTATCAATTTAATATTGAGTTTAATTTACGGAGCACCAGTAGTACTTATGAGACTTATGCATAAACAAAGAAACAGGTATATCAGCTAGACTGCTAACATCAAGCACTGAATATTGCCAAAAAAATACATAAATTTAAATGCACAATATGTTGGAGACTGAATCAACCGAATGACTTACGGCAACATTCAATAATCCAATCAATGGGTCTGAAGCAAATATTCTGCTGATTTTTTTCATCCTCTTATCATAACACTGAAGCATGCTCCAAAGTACCTACAAGCAACAGAAGCCAGTTGCTGAGAACGCATATCTGTAGAACTTAAATCAGAAGCACTACTCAAAAACAAAACTAGATTGAAATCCCAATATTTCTTGGATAAAGATGCTCAAAGAGAGGTTAGACATCTAATCATGCCCCAAATAAAAAGTATCCTCATTTTGCATCACAGATTCTTTTTTTCTTTTTCGAAAAGAGAATTTAATTGTTAAAAGGCAATAAAATTACATAGTACAGACAAAGTGGTCAAGAAAAAAACTCCTGATAGGCTAAAAAGAATAGAGAAACAAAATCAGCTGAAACAAAAAGGCTTACCAAAAAGCAGAACTAACAAATACCAGCTTGCCAATTTAAAACAAATAATTGAAGCCCATAGTGCAAACTAAAAACGAACTCTTTCCCATAACTTTTTAACCCCTACACCCACACAATCTTCAAAAACCATTTTTTGTCTCTATCAAAACCACCCAGAACACAGCCAAAGTTATACAACCCCATATTAATTTGGCCTTCTTAACCTTCCACGCCATTTGTGGCTCTTACAGAGTAAGGAAAAGCAATCCCTAGGGATGATCCCACTTTTTTCATCTTCCTGAGAAACCACAATATCACAGGTAATGAGGAAGATACCATCAACTGATTCCATATTCTTCTTATACAATGTACCCCAATGGGGGGACAGGCAAAACTTTGGTCTCCTTCTCTGACCACGCCACAAGTATTTACCATACTGTGAGTCACTAACCACTCTTTTTGCTCAATTTGAATTATTCCCAAAAAATCCAAATGCGGCAAAAAATTCACAATGCCAAGGACTAGTGCCATAATGCCCAAAAGCCAGAAAATAACAGTTTCTTGTCCAAACAAACCACACTACAAACATATAGAAACCTACTCCAAATTGGTGGAAGGAAAGAGCAATGCAAAGAAATAAAATCAGCTTCTATGCACATGCTACCAGCTCCTTTGCAACAAGACTCACCAACTCAGGGATAAAGATAGATATATATACACACATTTATTTATACGCTGTCCTTTTCCAGCTCGGTAAAGTGCAAATAACTTACCAACTACACATCGACAACCATAGAGGCTGCATATCGACAGCTGTGAAGCTGAAGTATGGTCAGTCATAGGTCCATAAGTATGATCCCACATGATTTGTGATGGATAACAGTCCTCATAATCATGGGCAGAGTCATAGGCATGATCCTTGAGGTAAGGGACCTCCAAAACTAAAATAGGACTCTTAATGGCACCCCTCCTCATGTCTCCCAAAGTCAAATGGCTAATTGACTTAATGGGCGGGATACTGGACCTCAAATCAGCCAATCACCGGATGTCACTGGTCTTTCTTCGTTCCTGGAGTGCTGCAAGTTTGAGGTGAGTAACGGGTAGAGGGTGAGGTTTTGGGAGGATGGTTGGTTAAAGGGTGGACCGTTGAAAGAGCAGTATCCTAGATTATTCTTGTTATCGAGATAGCACGACCAGAGCATTTCAAGTTTTGTGGCTTTTTGTCTTCAGTCATTGAGCTGGAATTCTGATTTCAGAAGAAATTTGAATGTGCTGGAGATAGCAGAGGTGGCTAGGTCATTACAGAAGGTGGAAAATGTTCGTTTGATTCAATCAAGAGCGGATACTAGGTGGTGGAAACTAGACAGATCCGGATTGTTCACTTGCAAATCCTATAGCTCATTCTTGTGCAACAACGGAACTGTGCAACATTTTCCAACCTTTTCTCAGATTTGAAAATCAAAAGCTCCTCCGAAAGTCAAAGTTCTTGCGTGGTTAGTGGCTATTGGGAAGGCCAACACCTGTGATCAAGCTCAAAGGTGAAGGCTTATTTGCATTTGTCTTCATTGGTGCAGTAGGAGGAGAGTGTTAATCATGTTTTTCTCCTTTGTTCTTACTCAATACAGTTGTGTGGGAAATTGTTCAAGGAAGTTAGAGCTAGTTGGATTATTCCAAAGGGTTGTTTGAGCTTCCAAGCACCAACTTCAAATGGGAGGAAAGCTAAAGCTTTGTGGGGCTGTTTGGTGTTGGCAGTTCTTGGAAACATTTGGTTGGTGCGTAACAGAAGAGTTTTTTATTATAAGGGAGTGAGAGGGTAGAAGAACTACGGGGTAGAGTAAGATACTGGGCAGCCCGCTGGGCATCAGTTTTGAATAAATTCAGGGATTATTCTCTTTCTCATATAGTGAGGGATGTGTTAGCAGCCATAAAATGATTTTGGTTCAGCCTTAGTTATTTGTAAATAGCCCTACTTGAGAGGTCTTAGCTAGTTTTGCTAGATGGTGGATTTCTAATCCACTTTTTTGTAATTCATGTAAATGTTTTAATAAAATTTTATCGTTTCTTCTCAAAAAAAAAAAAAGAAAAGAAAAATTATTTGCCACTATATAAAGATATAGCCTTCCACCATGAGAAGATAATTATTAGTCTGCCAAGAAACTCAAACTCTTGAATTTGCATTCATCCACTAAATCTACCAACTTAGGCATCGGAGGATCACAATAGATTGGTGTCAATGTGACAAGGTCTAACCTATCATTTTCTTTCTCAGTTGCACAGACACTCAAGTAATTCTACACTTGTATGGAATTTGATACCGCATAGACAATAAAGAAAAAATCCGATGAATTCCCTATAAAGTTCCTTCTAAGCCTCAAGTTCTAAGAAATATCCTGAGGTGATGCTAGGCAAAGATTACCGCACTAGACCAATAAAATGAGTCACCATTTCAAAAACCTTCCCAAAAACAAAATTTTACATTCCAACACCAAATTAAGACAATAAAAAAAGATAGTTCTAAATTCGATCATAGGAACCCTCGACAACTCCCATCCATTGGAATGCACCATACTTACACCCGATGATAGAACACAACACAGAGAATAATAGAAGTAACTTGAAAGTTTAAACCACAAGGGATAGTTGATAAGCCAGCATAGCCCAACAATTTATGACACAATTAGGAAACTAAGGATAAAAATATAAGTGAACTTATTTCAAATGTTTTTCTTTTTTCTTAAAATGCCATACATAGAGGATATAAGGATTTATAGTTACATTAACATGGAAAACCCTCTAGCATGTCGTTCCTTACAATTATTTTGAGTCGAGAAAAAAATTAGTAAATCAATGAAATGTTCTATCAACTAGAACTTCATTTAAAGGTCTAAGAAAACAATGACTATATGTAAGGCACTAACATGCATCTGACCAATATACAGGACATTGACAAGTGTTTGATCTAGACAGCAAAATGTATCTTGATAATAAGTTGTTCATATGACACAACAACAGCAACAACATACCTCAGTCACAGTCTGCTCCTTACATGCATCCTTCCAAGTTGTAATAAACTTCCTCAAAAAATCACTGGAAACTGAAAGATCAGTTTTAATCATACTAATGTCCTCCTCGGTTTCATGGTCATTCTTAGTAAAAAGAACATCTTGTTCTACCTTGTCTCTCTTTCGTAATTTTTGGGGGACAGAGATGGGGCTGCTTAGATTTTCGTATTTTCGTTTCTTTTTTACGGACCCATTACCCTCATTATGCTTTTGGGTTCCACAAGCCGGAGAAGGGTGGTTTGATCCAAGCAAAGGCCTCTCCTCTATTGCAGACATGTAAGTAGAGTTACTCACTTGGTCCGAAATTTTAGCAGATTGTAACGAAAAGTTAACCTCGGTGCATGCATGACCTTTATCTTTGTCATCTTCATGTAAAAAATCCTTACCACCTCCATCCCTTGAACTTGAAGAAACAAATCTATCTTTCTTGTCACAAAATTCCTTTTGTACAACAGAAAACAATTCAGCATGCTGAGAAATGTCACAGAAATGCTTGTCTAGCCGCTCATTCAATGAGGTAAGAATTGGTTCCTTCTTCTTATAGCGGCGCATTCTAACTTGCTCTTGAGATTTAATTAGAGCGGCACGTTCTAACTTCCTGCCTTTCCGAATAGAAGAAACGTGCACCCTATGATCATGTAGTTTACTTCAAACAAGAGCATTATAACATATAATTTTCTAGTACTTTCAAAGGACTAAAAACTTAAGTTACTCAAAACGCCTATGCACGCCAAATGTAATTTTAACCACTCAAGGCATCAAAGTGAATCAATCCAGTAGTCGCAACATTTTCTAAATCTGTGCAGGAGGGAGGGGTTGTAAATCTTTTACTATACAAAATCATTACAATTATTAGACACAATGCCTATCTATCATAAAATAGAAGGAAAAAGATGTGAGACGTACCCCAAGCTACAAATTCGAATTCCGATATTTTCCTTGCTTGCAACTGATCGCCTCTTAACAATATAATCCAAAAATTCTTCAACAGAGACTTTACGTTTATGTTCTTGATAAAAGGTGAGTAAACATAGTATCTCCTCGCTAGTTATCTTAAACACTTCAGTTGTATCAGAACTCACTGGGAAATAATGCAAAACAAGGGGGTGACGGAACAAAGGGCCCAATCCCAGCACTTCAAACTCCTCAATCTCCTCATTCTTGCAGATTGCAAGTTCCAAATCATACAAAGATGTAATTCTTCGAGCTAGAACAAAGCAATGGATAAATGAACTTATCTACATAACAAAAGAAAATGAGTAAAAATTAGAAAGATTTAATACATAAGGATACAAATTTGTATACATAATTTATGATATGTTCCCGACGCAGAACAAATAATTTCCAATTGCAAATGAAAGGACATTTATCTTTTCCATCAATTACATTCCTTTTCCCACACTTTCTAAGCAACCAAACAAAGTGTTTACCCAATATATATATATATATAGAGAGAGAGAGAGAGAGAGAGAGAGAGAGAGAGAGTGAGTGACTATTACCCTGCCTTCGGTGAGCATGAGGCGGTGAAGAGAAGGGACTTGATGCATTTGAAGCCCGAGAAGAAAGCTCCAGTCATCAACCTTGAGCGTCACAAGCGCAGACTGTAACACCTTCCACGCCGAGACGCTCCTTCTTGCCGCCACAAAATCACCGCGAGCCTTTTCGACTGCCTGATCGATGCTCTCCAGCATCTCTTTCAGGTTCTCACATGAAGTCTGAGGCTGAAACGCAGAATTTGGGAGCTGTTGAGGATCAACATTGGGTTTCGGGTTCTCGGATGAGGTCTGAGGCGGAAACGTTGGATTTGGGAGCTGTAGGGGATTAAAAATAGGGTTTTGGAGCGGGAAGCTAGGGGTTTGGATTGGGAAATTAAGGCTTTGGATAGTAAAACTAGGGAAATTGGGGTTGTGGGCAAGGTAGGGGGCAAAGGCGGGGTTTTGAGGATAAATATAGGATGAATTGGTGGGGTTTTGGTTTTGGAGAGAGAAATTGGGGTTTAGAGGTTGTGGGTATGGTTGCTGAGGCGGCAGCGGTTGTCGCCAATCCCGTTCTCCGGCGGAGGGCGGTCTGAAAATAGAAGGGTGCCTGAACATGGCGGAAAGAAACGGAGTGAAACTGGACAGCGGTGGACGTCCCTTTCTTAAAAAATAAATTCTCCATGTATTCCACGCGTGGCTCCCTCTCGTCTCTCCTGTCGCTGCACCAACGAGGTCGTCCAGGTGCATTAATTTTGGATAGGATGTAGGGATCTCGGAATTATGACTGTTTATTGTACATCATACGATCAATTTTTATTAGTACTATTTATATTTAATTTTAAATTTTAAATTTTGAAGTGATTTTTGACCGCACAATGTATGATAAACGATCACAATCACGAAATCTCTAATATCCCTAAGAAAAGGATCTGGCGAGGACCTTTTCCTATTTATTTTGTTGATGCTCCAAACTTTTAGACTTGGAAATGATGGGTGAAGACAAGATTTATTATCAAATCACATAATGTGACAGTTAACAAATGAATATTTTTGATAATTTTTCAAAAATATAAGGAAATATTTGGACCATAATTGTATGTTAAATTATTTAATTATGAATCACATGATATGATTTACAAAATATGATTTAAAGAAATGGTTTTTTTAGCTTCACGCATCTTCTAAAACAAGAAAGATTTATTGGTCAAGAGCTGGTCAGCGTTAGATAAAGGACCCGTTAACTCATTGCACTATAACTTTGTGTTATAATTCTAACCCCTTCTGGATCTTGCTCTTTCATTGTCTTTGGGTTTTTCACACATTATTCCAACCTTGCCGCACCCTATTTATAAGTATAAGGTGCGGTTCACATGCCATTGTTCCATATTATGGTTTGCATTCTAAATGGACAAAGTACACTTTCTTTCAATTTTCAAATTATCTTATAGGATTCCTAATCTAATTGAACAAGGAAACTAAGATTCCTTCCTAGTTCTTTTAGGAGAAGAAACGGTGCACCCCTTACTTTACCTACACAATCCTAAACAAAATAAGACACTAACTTGACGAGCCAAAATCCTAACAATCTCCACCTTAGTGAGTCAAACCAAGTCTTGACTGTTGCATCCCAAGGTATCTTCGAACCTTCTTGAAGTAGCTCTGCAAATCTTCAAGAATCTTCACCTTAACAATCTTCTTCTTTCTTATTCTATCTCAAGTGAGGAGGTGCTCTACCTTAATCAATCAATGAGATTGATAAGTTCAAGCAATGTATGAACTTATTGTTTGGCACTATCTTCATAAGGAACTCTACGACATTGTCGTCCATGTGATCAAATCACGTGATGTGACAGTTAAAAGTACTAAGAAATGATTGGACCATATTTGTAGATAAAATTCTTTAATTATTAATTACATGATATGGTTTACAAAATATGGTTTAAGGAAATGGTCTTTCTAGCATCACGCATCTCCTAAAACAAGAAAGATTTATTGACCATAAGCTAGGCAGCGTTAGACAAAGGACCCGTTAACTCATTGCACTATCAACTTTGTGTTATGATTCTGACTCTCTCTGGATCTCGCTCTTTGATGTATCTAGCAATAGACAAAAACTTAGCAAAATAGAGAAAATCAGAAACACAAGATTTATACTAGTTTATCAGAACTTTTGCCTACGTCCAGTTGTGATTTCTCTGGGTAGAGAAATCACGGCTTCCTTGATTAATAATAGAGTTACAATACTTTTGCAAACACTCTTAAAACTAATCGCCTTTAAACTATCTTGATTGTCTCTAGCTTTTTCACACATTATTCTAGCCTTGTCGTACCCTAATTTAAGTATAATGTGCGGCTCACATGCCATTTTTCCAGATTATGTTTCCTATTCTAAATAGACTAGGAATTCAAATTATCTTCTAGAATTCTTAATCTAATTGATTAAGGAAACTAAGATTCTTACCTAGTTCTTTTCAAAGAAGAATCGGTGTACCTTTTATTTTCCCTACACAATCCTAAACAAAATGGGACACTAACTTTGACGAGCCAAAATCTTAACAATCTCCACCTTGGTGAGTCACACCAAGTCTTGATTGTTGCATCCCAAAGTATATTCAAACCTTCTTGAAGCAGCTCTGCAAATCTTCAAGAACCTTCACCTTGACAATCTTCTTCTTGACTCATGCCACCTCAAGTGAGGAGGTGCTCTACTTAATCAATCAATGAGGTTGATAAGTTCAAGCAATGCTTGAACTTATTAGCTGACACTATCTTCTTAAGGAAGTCTAAGGCATTGTCGTCTGTGTGAACCTTTTCAACCAAATCTCCTCAGACTCCACCAAATCTCTGATTTTGTGATACCTTGCTTCAATGTGTTGTTATCTTTCATGAAAAACTTGATTCTTTGCCAAGTGAACACTTTAGCTGTCACATTTCAGCTTCACATAATCCTGAGTGATTCTATTTGGCTTACCCAGCCACTAAGCCAAATTGCTTCATTTCCAGCTTCACCCAAAGCAATGTACTTTGCCTCTGTGGTCAACAAAGTTGTAATTGGTTGCAGTAGTGCCCTCCAATTGGTCCTCCTGCACATGTAAAGACATAACCAAAAGTTGACATTCTCTTGTTCAAGTCCCCTGCATAATCGGCATCCACATATCCCTGCATTTTCTTTTTGCTTCTCAAACATGATCACTTGTCGCCAAGAACCTTTTAAGTAACGCAAAATCCACTTGACTGCATCCCAATGTTGCTTTCATGGATTTACCAAGAACCTTTTAAGGAACACAGCCTAGTACACCAAGTATACAGAGCCGTGTTCCCTGCGCATTGAAATATTTATCCCGAGATGGGTGTGTGTAGCACACAACTACATGCTTTAGTTGTTTTTCTTCTTCTCCGATTAAAAAAATTACGTTTCTTAAAAATTCAACTCCACTCATCTCCAAAACTCAAATTATGTTCGAGTAAGGCGCAGCTTGTGTTCTAGTATGAAAGGAACTGGAAAAGAATGCCAACCAAAATAACAAGGTGGTCGAACAACAGCGCGTTCTTGCGGAGAGAAAACGTCTCGTATATGATCCTCGAAAGCACGTAAAAAACTGGAAAGAAGAACATTGATAACCTAAAATGCAGAACTTGAAGTCCTCAACTTTCTTTACTGTGGTAAAAAAACTGTACAAAATCTTTGATAAGCAACTGTCATCTGGTTAAAAAAACCAAGTAAATTCTGTAAATATATACATTGTTGCCAGAGACAATTCCTATCCATTGTACATACAGACATCATAGAGGAGAGGTCATTCTCACTCCTATTAAAATCAATGAAGGGGACTGAATTGTTCGAATAAATATGAAGAATCCCAGCTGACAGCAGTAACTACACAGATAAAAAATTTGAACGAACAGTTCCCGGCATGTTCAATTCCAGCACAATTTTCACCCAAAAGTCAACTTTTGCTTGGAAATTAACTGGCCTATGGCTTTCCAATTAGATGTGATAAAATCCGATTAAATAAGAAGATCATCCGCTGCCACATCAACTGAGATAGGCCAATTGGGCATGCAGAAGAGACCACATGAAGCACCTTTCAGGACTGGGACACAATGGAAAATTCCTTCTGTTGCTCAGGCATCAAGACAGCCAAACGTAGTTTGTGAAGCTGGCACAATTTTGCAAGATTGTTGAATATTGAGACCCTTGCAACATTATTATCCAATAAAACGACATGTGCAATACTGAAAGCTTCACCTTTCTCAACCGCAAATTGCAACTCTCTCATCGATATTTCAAACCAGTCTTTTCTTGTAGACTTGGTTGTTTTAACTTCAATGTACTCTCCACTATTTTTCTTCTCTCCCAGAACGATATCATATGGTAGCCCAGTTTCGTTGTGTTCATTAACCCATTTAACAACTGCCTCGCCAGCTTTGTCAACAAAAAATTTAAAAGCTACAAGCTCACCTAGCCGCCCAGTTAAAATTGCTTGTGTTGAATTGGGTGTACCAAATCTAAGCCGATCTCTACTGCTAAAATTAGATGAACCAAAGTCAGGAGCATCAGACACAAGACCAAAACTACTAGGATCAAACTGGATATGCATTGCCAAGTCAGCCTCATTGCCAGCCTCACCACAATTTTCTTGCAGACGATTGGAGTCTGGCAAAACTAAAGCTACTGACGTTGCTGAACAATGTTCAATTGTCCAATTAGTGTCAACTGAAACAGGTGTCAAATTATCTGTTTGTCTGCAGATACCTTCAGAATCATCACCCAATTTATTTTGTACAGCCGTGTTAGGCTGTGAACCTGGTGCCTGCGTCTTAAAACCATTTGCACGAGCATAACCAAACCCTGGTGCAGTTTTCCAATCAACAGGAGGCCAGGTTGCTGCTTTGCTTTTGGATTTCGAACTGCTTTGTTCATTTACTTCTGTTGAAATAGAACTTGTCTGCAGTGGTTTATCACTCCTCGTTAAGGAATGCACAGAAGACAAGGTCCAAACAGATTCACCATCAGGAAGCTTTGGCACCTTTTGGCTATTTAAGATGAAAAACTCTGTCTGCTCCTCATTTGAACCTGACTCTGCCATGGTTGTGATCATATGAAGGAAATTTGCCAAGTGCAGTTCAGGACTTCCATTAAAAAATAAACGAGAAAGCTCCAGAAATAATGCGTGAGAATCCGACTCTTGGGTCGTATACAAAATGCTACCCTGTATTTGTGAAATGAAACGATTAAGTGTATGAAAGTGAGAAAAATTGCAAGTACTCATCACACCAAATTCTTGGTAGAAATATCTTCCGGAATCATAAAACTATGAGAAACACCATTCAATAAGAGAAGTTGATTAAAAGGAGGAACTTTTAGGGGATGCATAATTTATATTCTCTCTTTTACCAGAACAAAGTTGGACGATGGTGTCACGTAACCTGCATAAGATGTTTCACATACTAAATCCTTGTATTTCAGAAGGATGTAAGTATATTGTGGTTCCAGGTAAAGTCTAAATCAGTTTGAAGTATAATAGGAGCATTATGAAACACAAACAGCAGGCATTCACATTCAATGAAGGATGAAATAACATACCGTCAGAAGGCAACTACATTCAACTTGCTTCTTGGATTCGCTTCCAGTACCCTTTATAACATTCCGGTAAAACAGCTTTTCAACAACTACTACTTGCAAACAGTTCAGCATCTCAAATTCAGACTGCTTGAGTTGAGAATATTTATCCGGGTGCACACCATGTACGTACCGCTGAGCATATGGAAGAGCCCAATCCAGCAATGCAGCTTTAAAGCTAGAGTCTTCATTACCAGAATATATTGCCTCACGAGTTACAACCTGCATGTAAACGAGAAGGTATGGGGAAGTTTTAGGTGCATGAGTTAATTTCCATAATTTAGTTTTCCATTTTCTTTTTCAAACTAATAACCCTGATTTTGTAATACAATGCATTGTTCAATTTAATGTGGCATAATAATGCATAGCAACTTTAGAGATTATTATGACTTATTGAATTCCATTTATAACTCAAACATGTTGCTTATGTTTCATACACATGATCACTTGACATGTGCATGTTTGTGAACAAATAGAGACATCTCAGCTCCGCGCACATAAAGACATATCTTAATCTTACCTCTGAAAGAGCAGGAATCCCTAAAGTCTGCATGAGGATGGACACTTTCGTACATAGCATCTCTTCATCATCTTTACTCAGTTCACCCAAGTATAGAAAATCAATGCCATCCAAGTGCTTAAACTGCTTGCTTAATTTCTTATCATCACACCAGCACACAAGACCAAATGACGGATGTAGAGAAACCCACTTATCTTGTAAAGTAGGAAGCACCGTACATTCAATCTTTGTAAGCGAATCTTTCAAATAAAGAACATCCTCAGCACTCAATCCTGATTTTAATCCATCAGTCCACTTCAGGAAAACTTGAAAAACCTGACACAAGCAACACAAAACACTTAGATCACCCTGCAGCTTGCATTCATTGTCATATTTCTCTAAACTTGGTTACTTAGTACTTACTGCACTAGCTGCTTGTGAAGGCAAAGCAACATTTGATAAATGAAGCAAAATCTGAAGGTAGCTTCGGAGAGGAGGGGTCTCATGTACTCCACAGACGTTCACAAAGAAGTCATGAAGGCCTGGGTAGAAATTGCAAAGCGTCTTAATCAATGGGCCATGAGTAACACCTGCTGAGCTGCACTGACGATGAATTTCTCTGATTTGGTCTACAAACGATGTGGAATCATGCCAGTATACTTCTGCAGGGGACAACAATGTACCAGATACCACATCCTCGTGCCTGAAGCTAGATGCATAAGGAATAAATATGGAAGGTCCTGAATGGAAAACCTCTGTAATTTTCTCCGTTGAAGCAGCCATTTCATTCCAGATTAATGTGTAAAATTTCAACATTTGCCCTAGGCTGGAAGACAAAAGAAAGGCTGACTATAAAGTGTGCAATTTTTTTTTAAGATGCAAAATTTTTGCAGACCGTGCAAAATTAAACAAATACAATAAGAGTAAAGCGTACATATACATATATGTTTTGTGTCGAGCATTGCTTAAGGTTGTGATTTTGAAGGGACATATATCTCCCTATAAGAACATTGCTTAAAATTACCTCCCGATTATGTGGATCTAATGCCTATAAAAGCAAATGATACTGTAGAGGAAATGCTCTAGGTTTAAGCACTTAAATTTCTTTGGTAATAGTATTCACAAAATTGGTGAAACCAAAACATTTAGCGTAAGATATAAGAAATAAAAGCTAACAATATCCCTCCTGGATAAAATGAGGTCAATCATGATGGAGGGAAAATCATAATCATACCTGGCCTGGAATTCATTTTCACGCCTCCATAACTTCAAGACCTCCAGAGCATCGTCAAGAGAAACTATTGTCTTAAAGCCAATATCACGTACGAAATTCTCACTTCTCGCCTGTTTCAAAAGAATAAAAAAAAATGGAGCACACGGATCAAGAAACTTCAAACAATATTTAAGATTTTGTACAGCTGAAATTGTAGTTATTATATCCACAGTATAGCATTGTCTCACATCCATGTTATAGAACATAGAGCAATCGAAAAGTATGCCACTACGCCTTCCAGAAACAACATATGCAAAATATTCTTGAGGTGCATTGCTCATTTCATAATGTAAACAATAGGGATTGCTAAAGAGGATTGGAATCTAGAGCTATCATATTTTTTTTCTTTTTTCAAAATTGGTAATAATATAGACCTGTAATCAAAAGATGCAGCCATCTCCAAATTCTAAACATATAATAAATTCTAATATCTTTAATTAGGTGTAATTTCATTTTTTTAATTTAATAAATTTTCACCTTGTACCGTCGAGTTTTCTCTTGAAAAAAAAGGTTCATTCCAATATAGGTACCAAAATCTAAGCCACATTTTCTAAAAAAAAAAAAAAAACAAAAGGTTCTGGAACATCACTATAAGAATCAAATGACCACCGCAGACTGCTTCACATGGGAAGGAACCAGAGCTGATTGTGGAACAAATAAGACTTGGAGTTGAGTTTGTTCGAAAAATTAGCATTAGATACACCATAATTATTCGGTGGTAAAATACTGAACAACTGTGCTTCACTTGACCCTGGTTGGCTCAATAAAAAAATGAATAACCACATTCCAGAACCCAAAATCCCCATGACTTTGACAGAATCATAAATCTTAACCCTCAGATGTCACCACGTATGAAGAAAATGGCCAGAAAATCAACAAACCATTTAAAAAGGGAGGATTGGATTCAAGAGAGGTTTTGCTTTGATGAAGATGGCCTGGGTGTTGCATTAGCGAGTTTTGAGGTAAATAATGGCAACACCCAGGCCATCTTAGTCAAGTGAGGTTAATAATCCCAACATAATCCTCCCATTTTAAATCGTTTCTTGATTTTGTGGCTTTTTCTTCATTTTGCACATGTAAACAGTTGGATATGAATTAGTAGGTGAACAGAGAGGCGGTGGGGGAATTATTAAGGAAGCACAGCGTCCAAACAGCAACACCGTATAAATAATGTTAATTAATTTCTTAACTACAATAGAAAACTTCTTCTTCGTAGATGTAGCATCATAATATCCTTTTGTCTTATTATGAATTGTTTTATGAAGCGACAAACTTTCATTTATACTTCTATGGACAAGAGAACATTAAACATGAAAGAGAACAGACAGGCTTATCAAATCGAATCATAATAATATAATGATGTCACCAACCATTAACACCAATATTCAACTAATTCACATAATTAAAATCTTGAAGCTAAATTTTGAATCCTAGAGATTATGAAAAGCATGTCATATTAGATAATTAAAATACGATTAGAGAAAAAAAAATATATTAGAAGATAGAAAATAAATTTAGACTTATAAATAATTGTGTAGAAGAAATCCAAAATATAAATATCACAAGAAGTCAAAGTTGGACATATATTAATTTCCCCACACAGATTTTCACAGAATTATTTACAATCATTCATCAGCGGATACCTACAAATATTCTCCCACCAATGTGATGTGAAGTTATATAAGCTTTATTGATACCATTCAAACTGTTAGGAAAAATCGGGAAGTAATTTAACATGCAGAAAAAAAGACAAAACATGTAGAAAAGAAATAAAAAAGGTCACAACCTTTTCCCTTCGGAGTAAAAAATGGGGAATTTTGTATGCAGGTACCAAACTAACCTTTGGAATCGCAAAAGGAGCAGATGCCCCCAAAGTCAAACGCACTGCATCACAGTCATGATATAAATGTTTAGGATAGTGAAGCACATCATCCATCGCTGATGCTACCCACTGCACATCACAGATGCTACTTATAAATGAAGATTTGAAGGGCCTTCTGTCGGCTTCAGAGTTAGAAGCACAATAACCAGTAGTTTTTTCACTATAACAATCATCCCACAAAGTATCAAGAACCTCTAAAAGATATTCACAACCTCTTTTGTTGCCATCTCTGGCTAATACTGACAATAAGTCAACCAATTCAGGGGACTCCCAATCTGTGATGTTTGACCTAAGGGAAATTAAGTCCTTATCCCATATCAAATTCTTAACTACTCCATCTGAAATATCAGCTATTCCCTTCTCAACTTGAACTACTTTGACGAAATCCATTATCCCAATTTGCTGGAAAAATTGCCTCCACTTCTCCAGTTCACATGGGAGTGACTTTGCGACAGGATGTCTCAAATAGGAGATGTCAACCTCATGCCACTTCATATCCGCCATATTAATCAACTTCTTTATGTCCACGGGATTACCAAATTCTTGACTGAAATGAATTGATACCTCAGAAGGTCGTTTAAAGCCATGACTTGTTGATATGTAAGCTTTATCCCGTATTTCAGAGATTATATATTCCCTTTCAACATGACAATCGGAGCAGCTAGACTGTAGGTGGAGCATAACAAAGCAGAGATATTCAATCATCAAATTCTTATCCCTATCCATTATTCTATCGTCAGACATAGCTGGCAGGATGTGCACTTTGACAATTTCGTGTGTAGACAACTTCTGGACACCAATTCGGAAAAGCATACATGTGAGTTTTTCAACTGTCGTCACATCCATGGATGACATATCTGCAGACACTGTAGAAAGGAGGGCAGGATTTACGGTCCGAAGTTTTGCATATAAGTGTGGAAAGGACTCAAGTCCGTGCTGAGCTTCAAGCTCAGTGCATGAGGCATCAAAATGTAACCAAATTGGGCCTTCATCTATTGCACTGTAAGTACCATTTGAAAGAGGAATGAATGGAATTTTTCGAAGGTTTTCTATGACATCCATTTGAATTCTAGAGTCAAATGAAGCTTCCACAGATGAACTGAAAAACATTGCATAAAGTTCACTTAGCCAAAAGGCCAGCCAACCAAACCCCATTGATTTGAGATCATTATGTTTATGGCATAAAGAGACCATAACTTGAAGAAGAACTTTGGGCCCATACTCTGCAATACCTAGTGCACTTGCAAGTTGGTCTGACAGCACAATATTTTTATCCAAGAACCCAAGGCCAAGATGTTCACGTAGTAAACTGTCAGGAAGAAGTGAATGAGCACGTTCATTCCAACCTCTTAGGACTTTGCAAGGAGGAACCCATTCATTGTTTCCTCCTTCTAGAAGTAAGCAATTTGACATACGTAATTTAGAAATAATCAATCGAGGAAGAGAAGAAAAGAAGCCATGCACCTCCCCGACAAGCGGAACAAAGGACATATAAGCTGCCACAGCTCTGCCTGGATTCTCTCTAAAACATGGAAGAGCACAAAAAGATCTCTCTACATTGATAAACAAACCTGGAAATTCGGACAATAGCCACTGGTTCCAGGGACTATCTCCATCCACTTCCTCTCTAGATGAAGTAATGGCAAAATCACCCTGCAGAATAAATTTCAGGCCATAAGTTCTTAGAGGAAGAAATGCAAAAACCGGGTGTTGGCGTAAATCTGGACTATAATCGCCACTATCGGATTCCTTCAAAGTCAATGCTATCGAGATCTCTGTTTTTTGTACATCACTACGAACAAATTCTGCTTGCAATTTTTTAGATACTACAAACCATGTCATTTTTTCTTTCCCATGTGAAACCTTAACGATACCATCTCCCACAATTTCTTTTCTCATGACAGTAAGTGAATCATCGAGCAAGTTTCTGAACTTGATACACTGGAGGCGGTGCAGAAAGAGTAATAAAGATGGATGAAGATCTGAAAACATATTTATAATGTTTTTCATGACAGTTGCATCTGATAACTTTGATTTGAAAGGAAGAACAATGCAAGTGTTCCAGCAGTCACGGTCAGATTGATCACTGCCACCAGAAGCAAGCCTACTAAACAAGTCAATACTGCAGGGAGGTACAACTGTTGGCAAAACAAACCCGATCTGACCCTCACTTATATCAAATTTGATATGGAACCCATTGGAATGAATTTCTGGAGCATCTGTGACCTGCAGATAAATGCAAGCATATAAATGAAGGCATATTATCAATATCTTTCTGGACCATTATGGATCCAGTGGAGCAAGTCTCCTCCAAACACGGAATGAAGCTGAGAGTTTGATTAACAAAAATAATAAATAATTCATAGCAGCAGTAAAACATATAATCCATAGTTCCTATAATAAGGCTTGTTAGAAATTCAAATGATAGTAAACCTGTACAAGGTACTTCACTTAATGCAGCAAACAATCAAAAAAGAATAGGTGTGGCTTGACATGAGAGAGAGAGAGAGAGAGAGAGAGAGAGAGAGAGTGACAACTGCAGTGTTTTCACAACGTACCCGAAATACTGATTTGAAACCAATGCCCTTCTGCCCTATATATCCAGCATTAGATCCTTTCTTGGTGGAACTTCCAACGTCACAAAGTGCTCTAATGTTCTGGGAAGAGAATCCTAGCTCATTGTTTAAAACAATAATACTTGATTCTTGAAGAATAAATGTTAGAGTTGGTTCTACATTTGTTGGGTAGGTATTATCATCAGCATTTTGAACCTGAGACAACAATAAAAGAATAAATACGTACAATAATTAGATGTATAAAATTGTATTAAAACATCACTAGCTTATCAAAGGCTTGTTTTCAACTTCAGACTCAACTATAGTATCAAACATATAAAGATCATACAAAATCTAAATTTGAAATAGTATTTGACAATATGTTGTTGTAGGAGAAATTTTATAAATGAAAGGTGTTGAGAGTATGTCCTACGCTGAGAATTCTAAGCCCTGCATAACAACATATGTATCAGGGGCATCAGGCAACAAAACAAAATATAAATAAATATATAAATATGCATAGTTATGTTTTTCAAACTATCAACCTGGCACCACGCTATAAACAAATAATAAAGTTGACCACTTAACATGTCAGGCTGTTTACGAAGATTTCTATATGTATAAATACAAATGTAACCACTAGTCAGTAAACCCAGAAAGCCGTACAAATCTTAGCAGAGTTCATTTATTAATCAGAATCCAAGAGAATGTCCAGAAATTACATGAAAAAAAAAAGTATATAACAAGAACAGGCATTTATACCATAAATGAAAGAGGAAAAAATTATATGACAAGACCAAGAATTTAGACGGTAAATGTAAATGAAAGAGGGGACACCAAAAAGATAGTAAAAAGGAGGAAAACATCACATAATTGAGCAGATGACTGCACTAAGCACAATGAAAGGGGGAAAAAGACACAGAGAGAGAGAGAGAGAGAGAGAGGGCACCCTTACCAGCTCAAGAAGAAAGTGTGAATCCTGAGAATACAATTCCTGTGAAAGACAATGAAGAGCTCTCCCTAAGCGAGCATGCTGCTTTTTTAGCATGATACTTTCAACACTTTGTAGGCTTGAATCAAGACCGAATTCATCTCTCCGGATTGACTCAATTACCTGGGCTGCATCTTCATGTTTATTAAGCTCCGCAGAACTTTGTGTGGAACAATATCCATTTCTAGCATCAGAAGCTTCTGCGCTATCAATCTTCATACAGATACCAGTACATCCACCTGTCTGCTCATCTGACCTACCAGATGCACCCATGCTCTGTTCAGAAGCAGAAAACTTACCTGACACATCTTGCACAATCATTGAGCTTGACCCTGTTTCATAACTAACAGAATTCATACGTGAATCTGCAGATATGGACAAGTCAGTAGCATCATTGGAACAAAATTCATAGTAATCAGTAATCCACTCAACTATACCAAGAGACAACCCAACTTCATGAAGCATGAGACGCTGTTCTGACTTGATACATTCACCCAGAATGGCTGAAGGAGCATGTTTGACAACAGATTGTATCCCAGAAAGCAATATATCAGCAGAAAAATCACGAAACTCAGCAGGTAGGTACCCAAGACATTCAAGGACAAATCTTGATATAACAGGCGTTGCACTATTTATCTTGCTTAAGTCACTGTGTAATTTACTACACAATTTACCAGCAGCAACTTCACCAACAATTTCTTGTCTAGACAGTGGTTCTCCATAATTAAAAGAATTATTATTGTCATGTACTTCCAAACCATCTAAATAATTCTTCAGGATTACTTCAAATGCATGTTGTATATGAATTTTCAGAAGGGAGACAGGAACATGTTTTTCTCCCCCAACTAGTGAAAATAGAGATAGCATTTTCACTGCTGTTTGAAAAGAGGATCCTTGAAGTGCAGCTTCCAAGAATGAATCAACAGTTGCTGAATGATCTAACCGAATCAGTTGTCCATCTCTTGTCACCAAACACAAAAGTTCATCCGTGTTGACTTCCTTCAACAGCCATGGTAAAAGAGGACCAAGAGAGGGAGCAAACAAAAGGTCCCAATGTGACCATAAGTTTAAATCTGACATCATTGGTGCCCTAAGTAAGACTTCAATTGCATCCTTGGATGTAACAGATGCATAAGGCTTTGCTTTCTGGCCACTGTCAGTATTGATTAAAGTGCTGTTCCATAGGACATTCTCCATCTGTGCTGATGACTGTCTAGCATAACTAGTTCCACATAGTGCCATCGAAAATAGAACACATTTGGAAATCGCAGCATTTTTATGCTTTCCCACTATACTTAAGAAATCTTCCACTGAACCATTTTCGATAGTTGTGAAACTAACCAATGGGAACTGCTTCCTAAGCAGCAGTAATATTTTTTCTTTAGTAATGTTTTCATCCTCCCATAAGCTATTCAAAGCTTGAGATACTAAAACAACCAAATGGTGTTGGAGCAAGCAAACCTCCAAAGGACACTTCCCAGTTACGTCACCGGTCAGGAACTTGCACAGCTCATGTGGCAGTAGACAAGCATGTTTCTCTAAGAACATAAAAAACTCCCCATAACCAAGGGATTTAAATTCCTTGACACCAAATTCTTTGACTAGCCAAAGCTCGCAATCACAAAGCTTTCTCAAGAAGATAAATATATTCTCCTGAAGTGATTGACTATTGTTATGCCTTCCTTGATCACTCTCAAAATACAAGGTAATTTTTCTGATTATGTCCTCAACAGAAACACCTGTGAAATTTAATTACAGAACACCATAAGGCATACAAGTTTCAAAGAGAAACATAAAAAAATGAGGGAACAGAGAAAGACGAGATATTATCTTATTATAAGAAGTTAACAAAAAATACTTGGGAATTCAAAGAATTATCTATTTCTTCTAACCAGGATTACAGGTGGTTGAAGATTTCTTTGTTGTTTTCACTCTATCTAGAGTTCACCACAGTTTCTTTGTGCTTCTGGGATTTATGTTGTACTTGTATGTATTAGTGATGTTATTGATGAGGACTCCTTGTCCACGAATTGTAATTAATGTTTTCTTCACTATTAATGGCTTGTTTACTAACTTCAAATAGGGAAAGTCTGAAAGATGGGTTATCAAGAATGGTTTTCTATTTCCTGGTTTTTCAGGTATTGGATTTAGAATGATTCCAAATGTGTTGGTAAATCCAAGGGAAGTCAGAAAATAGAAGAAACCCCCATTCTATGTTAGTCAACATGAAATTATCATGTGAAGAAGGTCAGTCATATGGGTCAAGGGTGTTTTAGTATTTTAGTGCTAGGGTTTTAAAATAAAAGTTGTCGATTTATGGTTCCAGCAGGCCCATTAGTCTTTAAATTTCCTTGATCTACAAGGATCCGGTTATTATTTCCGCTTTCTAAAGAATTGGGTTATTTCTTGTTCAATTAGGTTTAGGTTTGTTATAAGTTGCATCATTGTAATTCTCTTTAGATAGTAATGAATAATTGAATAAGATCGATGGAGTTTTTCTCCTCTCTAGGTTAGTGTGATTCTAACCCTAGTTGTTATGCCCAAGGCCTCTACGAGTGATTCAGAGAAACCCATGATGCTAGTAGTTTCTATCCTGTACTCATATTTTCCCATAATCCTTTTGTCCTGCATCATTATGCTTCTTCTGTTTCAAAAAAATTAAAATAACCATCACTTACTCTGCATATGCTCAACAATATGTTCAGTGATGACCGGCGGATCCTTCATTTTTTGTTCATCTTTAGTAATTGGTTCAACATCTATGCTCACATATTCAGGACAGTTATCAGTAAGACTGCCAGTTAACTCATATTGACTGACAGTTTGGAATGTATCATACATGCTGTCCCACATTCCACATTTGATAGACGAGACCTGCAACATAGAAATGACAATGTGAGTGATCATAAACAATAAAGGATTTCACTGGTTATCACAATACAAAATAAAACTTCCACAGCAAACCTGTGGAAAACTGAAAGAAACACACATAAGACAAATTGAAAACCTTCCAGAGTAATTTTTTTGAAAATTTTCAGATATAAAGAATGATCTTAACCTAATATACAGGCCTATAATATGCCATCTATAAGCATAACAACAATTTTAAAAACCATTATAAGCTACTTTGTGTTCTTTTCTTGTAGACTACCCATACTCTCAGGTATGACCTTCTCTTATCTTATATACAAGGCCTTAGCTGAATCTTACCTTAAAGCATTCAAGGTAATTAAATGTATTGAACCCATGATAGAAAAACTAAAAGCAAAAGGAACCACATGAAGTACACTAAAATATGTAATACAAGAGTTAAAACACCAAAACACACAAACATAACAAAAACATATATGCATCTCCATACTTTAATATCCTCAGGAAGTCAATAATAAAAAATCTGCAAAACAATAAAATACTACATGTGAAACTAATAAGCTGATAATTAAACAGGCCACAATGACTTACAGCAACATTTAGCAATCCAATTAATGGATCTAAGGAAAACATTGACTTGATTTTCTTTCTCTTCTGAGCTTTAGTATTATTATACAGCAGCATTCTATCAAGTACCTACAAGAAACAAAAGATATTTTGTGAAACCGAATTTTGTAGAATAAAAAATGAAAGAACCCTGATACTTATAGCACTCGTAATAAGTTAAAACAGCGAAGGAATAAAAAATGAAAGAACGTGGTGCAACTTTTGTAATGCAAGGAAACACAATGTATTGGAATTATTTGACATGTATTTCTTATCCTTGTCAACACCCGTGGGATATGAGAAACATCAATACTTTTAAAACTCTGTTACTTATAGCACTCATAATAAGGCTAAGTTAAAACAGCAAAGGAATAAAAAATGAAAGAACATGGTGCAACTTTTGTAATGCAAGGAAACACAATTTATTGAAATTATTTGACATGTATTTCTTATCCTTGTCAACACCGGTGGGATATGAGAAACATCAGCAAACACCTCCAGTTATTCCCTGAATATATTTCCTTTATATCCACGACCTTCCCCCATTAATACAATTCACTAAAAATATCAATCTATAAAGATATCAGCCAGAAAATGAAGCACATTTCCAGGCACAATGTTTTCTTCAAATCTTTGAAACCTAGTGAATATGGTATCAGTTACACATAAAAATCAAGTTCATTATAATTCTGAAAAGCAATGAAAATACATAGCAAACTAAATACATTACATAAACAGATACCGTACTATTGGCAGGTATGTGATATCTAATCATTTGTTTACATACCAAAACAAAAGCATGAACATACCTCTGCCACAGTGTGCTCCCGACATGCCTCCTTCCAGGTTGTAATAAACATCTTCATATAGTTATTGTCAACTGAAAGTTCATCTTCATGCAAATTGCTGACCTCATTGGTTTCCCTACCATTTTCCACAGGAAGGGCATCTTGAACCTTATCTCTCTTCCGCAATTTGTGCGGAATGGAGATTGCACTGTTTATGTTTTCAGATTTCCTTTTCTTTCTAACGGACCCACTACTCTCATTGTGCTTTTGGGTGCCGCTAGCTGGAGAAAGCTGGCTCAATCCAAGACGTGTCCTCTCTTCTATTGCAGACGGGTAAGGACAGCTGCTCACTTGGTCAGAACTTTTAACAGACTGTGCTGAGTGGTTAACCTGACTACCTGTGACAGGGTCATTATTTTCAAAATCATCTTCAGATGAATAATTCTCATTATCTTCATCCTCTGAGCTTGAAGAATCAAATCTAATGTGCTTGCCACGAAAATCCTTATGCATGGAAGAAAACGATTCAACACGCTGAGAAATGGTGCTGAAACGTTCATCTAGCTGATTTTTCAGTGCGGAGAAAAGTGGACGCTTCCTACATTTTGTATCTAATTTTTCCTCAAATCCCTTCGCAGATTTCTTTTCTAATCTCCTGGCTTTCCGAATGGCCGAAATATAATTCCTGTGATCATAAAGTAACTTCAATCTACGACATTATAAATTTGCATACGTCATTGAAAAATAATAAATGAGATGACTACATAATATCATGAGACTGTCTTAACCCCTTAGAAAACTAAAATCATGGTTAACAAATTTAACCATCAATAAACTAGGATTGATACACACATACACACAAACACACAGAGGTGATGACTCATATATATTATAAATGACCAACTACTTCATCCAGGTCCACAAACGAAGTAGAAACAAAGTCAACACATAATGCTTGAGATTGGGCCATTTTATTTTATATCAAAATGTCTGTGAATCCTGAATATTATTCATGACAAAGAGATTTTATAGTTAGTGGCAAGAATTGACAAACAGCATGCATTACCTCAGCAGAAGCATGCATCAAATATCCCTGTGACTCAAAGAGAGAACGGGCAAGTACTATAAGAGATCCTACTCAACATCCCTAATACAGAAGGAAAAAAATTTAACTGCCACATGCACTTGCAAATATTAGAAGGAATTTTACTGCATGAAAGCTTCATAAACTAGTAAGTCCAGCATCTTATAAATGCATATGAACTAAAGAAAAAATAGATTTCCTTTGCCAATGTAATTCTCTGATCACAACTCATCTATCTACAAAACAGCTTTGTTAATCATAAAGTAGAAGCAACAAATGTGAGACATACCCCACACTGTGAATTCGTATTCCAAGATCATCCTTGCTTGCAGCTGCTCGCTTTTTAACGATGAAATCTAAAATCTCTTCAGGGCTAAACCTTTTATTGTTAGAAGTATCCATGAACTCTGAAAGTAGAGATATTATCTCCCTACTAGTTATCTTAAACACTTTAGTTGTATCAGACTTCACCGAGAAATAATGCAAAACAAGTGGGTGTTGCAACAAAGGGCCCAATCCCAGCTCTTCAAACTGCTCAATCCTCTCATTCTTGCAGATTGCTACTTCCATATCATACAATGAAGTAATGGTTTGAACGCCAACGAAACAATGGATAAATGCATTTATCTAAATTCCAATAGAAAATAAGTAAAGATTGATGGGATTTAATACATAAAGGCATTAGATCTTATAAGACAAAATACGGAAAAGATGCAAAATTTTAATATTGTATCAAATGCTTCTTTGGTTGCTGAGAAAACAAGAGAAAATAAATAGTTGCATGTTCATTGTGCTTGATTGTATTACTTTTACTTTACAAATGAAACTTCATATTCAAATGAGCGAAACAAAAGAGAATATGTATACTCACCCTGGACAACTAATGTCCGGTGCATATAGATAGCAAATCTCCTTGCAATTGCTAATAAAAAGGTCAAGCCTTTTAGTTGCTCTCACCCCCAATCAGAAATATTAATTTATTAAATCACATCCATTATGTTTAAACTACTGAAAAAAAATCCGATGAAGCAAGATAACTTTTGCCAAAGAAAGGGTAAAGTAAAAAAATATCTAAGAAGCCCAGAGTTCTCTCGACTCTTTGGTCCAAAATTCCAATTCTTCACCCCACAATCAAATGTGGTCTCTCTAATATCCATGATTTTCTTTGTTTAATGTGGTTTCTCAGAGGTTGATTACAAAATACAAATCATGTATGTTTCCCCCAATACAGAGTAATGTCAATATATTCCTAACACGCAATCAAAGTGTTTAAATTACGAAAGAAGGATTACCAATATCAATTGCAACTCTTTTCCGATACTTTATTAGCAACCAAATGAAGCATTACTTAGAGGGTACCATTACCTTCGCTTCGGTGAGCATGAGGCGGTTCAGAGACGGCACTTGCTGCATCTGAAACCCCAAAGAATCCCAGCTATCAACCTTGAGCATCAGAAGGGCCGACTGCGAGACCTTCCACGCGGAGACGTTCTCTCCTGCGGCTGCAAGTTCGTCGCGAGCCTTCCCCACTGCGCGGTCAATTCTCTCGAGCATATCTCTCGAGTTCTGAGGCCGAAAGACGGCCGAGCTCAAAACCTGCTGGGGAGGAGGAGTGAAGCCAGGGTTTTGGAGGGAGAAATTAGGGTTTTGTATAGGGAAATTAGTGGGAGGGAAGGTTTGGTAAGGGTTTTGGTAGGCACTGTGGGGTATGAAGGCAGGGTTGGAGGGATAGACATATGGTGAATTGATGGGGCTTTGGAGGGGGAACATAGGGTTTTGGGGTTGTTGCGGTGGCTGACCCCGTCCGCCGCCGGAGGAGCGGCGAGAAGGTCGTCCGTACATGGCGAGGAAGAAACAGAGAAAGAGAAGGGAAAATATTTGGTGGGTGCGTGGAGTTGGATATTATTGGAGGGAGTTTGCACCCAGCTTCGTACTGGAGACCCAGCAGCAGCTTTTACTACGGGGGCTGGCTAGCCACGCTCTCTCTGCACTCGCTGGGGTGAGAGCGTTTTACGGCAGGCGCGAAATCTTTTTGTTTCTGAGTTGAGGTTTTGTTGGGGTTTTAGGTTGAGCGCCGTTCTTTCTCTGTGTCCTCGTTCGCTTTAGAGGATCGTATATATACGAGTAAGTAATTTGGATATTAAATTTGCAAACTAAATAGCGTGTCACTAATAGGATTAAGCACGTTTATCAATGTTTAAGTAATAAATCAATCTTCAAATTTCATGTTCTTTAATTTTTAAAAAAATTTCTCCAAATTTAGTCCCCCTAGTATTACCCTTTATATATATTATCAGTTTTGGTTTTTGATATATTTTGGATGTCAATAACATCCTTTTTTAAGAACACATAGCGCCTCGATTAAAATATATATTACCTTGTGTAAGTTTATTTTCCACTTGATGATGTATTATTAGATTAAGATGTCATAATGATAATAAACTTGTTCTATGTAAGTTATTTTTCGTACATAGGCATAAGGTTTCGACTTATTTGGGTGTCATACGTATAATTAAGAGAGAGTAATATGTTTTGGATCTCTCCTTTAATTAATGTAATAGGTTTGAACCCTCTTCCATCCGTAAATAATTAGTAAAATTAAAATAAAAAATAAAAAAAACGCAAATATTAAAAATGAGAGTGGCATGGATCCATGTATTGGCCCAGCCACGAGCCCGCTTTCACCAACCCAACACAATAGGGTTTATATACATACCGAATAACGTGGTCTTCCGAGTAGACATAAGAATACAACTTTGTGACTTTAGTCAAGTTGGAAGGTACTTCGACTACTTTCCTTTTGTTTAACCAAACACTTCTAAAAAACACTTTCCTTTTGTTTTACCAAACACGGTTTCAAAATATACTTTAAATACCGCTTCATTTTGTTAACACAAGTATTATTTTAAAATTTCTATCTAGCGCCGCCTAGTAGATTTTGAAATACCGCTTCATTTTGTTAACACAAGCATTGTTTTAAGGCAGCTAACTACTATCCTGATTAATCTTTAGTCATTTGAAAATTATGAAATGACGCTTAGACCTGCTTAAGTGTCCACCTAGACTCGCCTGGGTGTCCTGACTAGGTCGCGACTCAGACTAGACAGAAAATAGATAACTTTCATTATGCAAATCATTTTTTAAAATAAATTATAAAAGACTTATCGGATATTTAAATAAGCACTTATTATATTCTGATTTCCCATATTTTCAATATATTCTCACACTTTCTAATCAATATGTCATTCTATTTCAAAGAATAATACTGAAAGGTTGGTTGATCTGATTCCGTTTCGTTGCTTCCGCTAATTCTAAGTACTCCAATTATTTTATTTTTCCGTTTCTATCAAGTAGACATGCTCTTATATAAAGAATAATACTAAACTCATGAGTTCAACATATTGGCACAACGCTAAAATATTCCGTCCCACTGTAGGAGTGACTCCTCAAAATATATTGATATCATACTCACGTTCTCCTGCCAGAAGGCGTACTAACTATTCAGCATTTTAGCACGGGTAAAATTAGTTTCAAATCCAAAATATGCAAACACCTTTTCTCCGTGCTCCCATGAGAAAAACAAACTAGTTTCAATTGATGAGCTAAACTTCATTGGATACGGTTTTCCAAATTACCACACACAATGTATAAATAGTAGTCAAAATCTACAAACAATGGAAGCCAGGTCCAAAACTTCTTTTCCTTTTCAATCTCTAGAGTATCAGTTGTTTCTACTTAATTGACCCACCGGCAATAGAGGACACGGTGCAAACACCGGCTGATGTTGTGAGCGGAATATCTTTGTAGCACGCCACTAGTTCAGTGTTCGTGTGCAGATCCACCTGCAAGGTCTCCCACACCTTCTTCTTCGGGTTCAAAATCTCATCAGGCTCACCTACAAACCCGGGAAATGTAACTCTCTCGCCAACTTGTGCACCTTCTGGCGGTTCAACCAGTTCAACCTGAACGTGCAGCCAACATTGAAGATATTTTATCAGTAATTACATTAGTGCCTAATTGTCCATGTCCATTGAACCATTGCGTACAGATATTACAGGTATGCTTGAGAAGGTTATGAAAATTAATGTGTTTGCATTAGTGTCCAAAAAAGATACGATTACAAAAGAAACATGAGTTACAAAGGCATAAGCCTTCCCAACTGACTAGTCAGAAGCAAACCAGAGTAACTGCGACTCAAGTTCGATTGAGATATTACTTTCTGATTACCAAAACCACTACAGGACTTATGCAGACACAAAATTTCACAATATTATTGCCACAACCTTATGCATAATTGGGTCAACGCCTATAATCATTTGCCTACCAGAAATTAACTCTTTTACAGAAGCAAGTTTTACATAAAGCTGGGGAAATATATCCTCGTAAATAGATAATGTCAGAGACCAAAAGTTAAAATTAGGTATCATCAAGATCCATATTCGTAGACTCCTTCGTTTGGTCACTCAAAGAGTGATTAATCATTAGCATTACAGTGGTAAGTGGCTTAAAAAGAGCACATAAGATGCAAAGAATATTAAAGGTTACGGAGCTGCTTACTGTGGTGTGTTCACTGTTCGAAGCAGCAAGAACCATTGCTTCTGACTTAATACCCCGCATGTTTGCTGGCTTCAGATTGCAAAGAACACATACTTTCCGGTTCTGCCACAGAACAGTCAATATGAATGTTGACAGAAATTGATACTAACTTTATTATTAAAAAATTGGTAGATGGAAATACAAACCTGCATTTTTTCAAGAGGTATATATTTGACAAGTCCACTGACCACTGTTCTGGTTTGTCCTTCACCAACATCAATATCCTCTACGTACAGTGAATCCGCATCAGGATGCTTCTGAGCTTTAGTAATGAGACCAACGCGGATATCAAGCCTACTAATAGAAATCTCTGCGTCAGCTGCAGATTTTGTGGGCTGTTGCTTTTTCTTTCCAGTACCTTCTGCCATAACAATGGCCTCTTAGAATAAATTCATTTTTGCAAGAAATAGTAATAAAGGGTGTAGTATTCTTTTCACGTACGGGTACCCACACTCAGGATAAGCTATGGATTTTTTGTTTTCCAGATACAAGGAGATGCTGCGTACTACTTATAGTGAGAAGTATAACACCATATGGCGAAGTGTGGAAATTATTATTTAGAAGTTAACTTTACTAATATAAAAAACTTGTGGACCAACTGTCAAAAGAATTGATGGTAACCTCCAAAAGCAAAATAGCTCACGCCTGAACAGAAAGATCAACACAGCAAAGAAAGATGTTTAGAAAACTGTTCAATAATAACAAGGATGCAAGTCCTATTTGGGCAACAAGCACTACTGGCAGTCCTCAACAAAGACCCCTCGCATCATTCCATAGATCCCCATCACAACATACGATGTACAAAAGAAACAGGAAAAGATTATCCTGATAACAACAGAGCATGCAATAAAAAAGGGGTCTTCCTTTCGCAGAACGGGGCTGTTTCATAAAATACGATATATCATTTTTTTACGTGTGATTTCTTTGGGTGTGTTTGTATGGTGGGGTGGGTGGGCGGTTTGCACAAGTATAAATGCACAAACCCTATATTTAAGAATGAACTGGGGTGGTAAAAAAAACCATAGTACTGCATGTGTGACATTTTTACCTAATCAACTAAAAGCAACCAGACATAATGGAATTCTAACCTGAAACTTTCGTTTTTTTGAGTTGTGCAGCCACCTTTGCTGCTTCAGCTTCTTCCCTCTCTTTTCTGTCAGCTTGACTTCCAGCAAACTTCTGCCTCCAGAATTCTACTTCTTCATCTTTCTGTGTGCAAATGTAACATTTCACTAATGAGAATCTACAAATAGGCAAGTGATGCAACAATTATAACATAGAGAATCCAGCATTAAAAATCAAAACCAAATGGTAAGTGCAGCCTACAAACTTATCTCAGGAACCAGCTTAATTGTCCAGCCGCTCATCTAGAGAAGCTTAAAAAAGAAATTTAGATAAGAATGTACTACTCTAGTGCTTTAGGATCTTGCATGGCAGTCCAAATAATAATAATTATAAATATTTGGTTGGTAACTGCTTTTACAAGGCAGCATTGCCTTGCGAAACAAGCTTTCCTGTGAAGCATATGCACCATGCAATTCAGAATAACTGAAATGCTGTATATTCAAGAGCTACTTGAAGTCCCCCCTCATCCAATCTCCCTATCTTATATTTTCTTTTAATACTCTTTTTCTTGCTGATAACATCAGCAGTTTCTCCACTATTTTTCTAAATCTCGGCAGGTATTCCTCTAATTTTTTTCACAGAACTCCCTTTCTAAATAATGTGACATACTGTACTAATTTCCAATAAGATCAGGTTGTTTCTTCCTTACAAGTGTACAAAAACAAATAATAGGTAAGACACTGCGCACAGCTGGACATACCAATTCCTTGAACAATGGCTCTGGTTTCCCAATCTTGTGACCAATAGGCACAATCTCCCAAGGCCGTCTAGCCCTATCAATATCTCCCTCATCATCACAAAGTGATAAGTGTGTCTCAGAAGGCAAATTAAGTTGCTTGAATACCTTGAACACAGTTAAAGAAAAAAAATTCAGCCTGGATGATCATAGTAACTTTACGTGACCGCAAAAAATATTTCACAATAACCAGTGAACAGAATTATTACTTCGAGAGAAAATGATGGCATAAAAGGTTCCAACAAACAAGCAAGAAGATGCACTAGTCCGACTGAGGTTCTCATAACAATAGCGCAACGAGGTTGGTCCTCTTTGTACAGCTTCCAGAACTGACTTTCCTGCATAATAAATGTAGATGGTGCAACTTAGGAGTAGCTCAATCATTGGCTTTGCAGTCATCTCCAAGCAATTTCACTTGAGAAAAGAAGTTATTCATTAACTCAAGGAGAGATTAAAACATGCTTACTTGCAGATATGCGTTCCCTTCACTAGAAATGGCCATCGCTGTTTTGAGTCCTTGCTTTAGCTTAACCTGCACAGAATACATATTGGAGTGTCAAAACAATGCAAGAGCAAAGTGAAGGAGGCAGGTAGAAGAAGAAGCTTTCAATCATTTGCAACAAGACTCTGATATAAATTTTGATCACCTTCTCCATAGCTTCTATATATTGCTCAACATATTTACCAACTTTTTCAGCTAGTTTCTCTGTCAAAGGATCTGCTTCTGCTTGCGGAGCATCTGGAATAATGGAACCATATCCTTGACCTGTAACCAGAATTTGTCAAGCAGAATACATGCAGAGAAAAGTAAGCACCCAATGAAAATAGAGCAGGAATTTATTCATCATCCAACTGAGTGCATAGTCTTTTCTTAAGTAATTGGACCATGTAGGAACATAAAGACAATTTTGATAACACACTCTTACATTATCAAAATATTATTTTCTTTTTGTATCAAGACTTAATAATATAAAAGCAAAAACAGTTTTCTGTTTCTTTTAAATTCAGAGAAAGGGGAGGCCAACAGTTGGCTGTGAGTGTGCCAGTAAGGGCTTTACCACTAGAGTTATAACCTGGTCCCCGACACAAATAAAATTTGATAACGAGAACATGATTGTAATATAATGGTTCCTTAAATAATTGATTGAATAAACTTCCTCATGGTATTAATTTTTCAAAGACAAATCTGCTGACTGGTCAATACTTTCAGAAACCAATGGCTGACTGACCTGAAGGTTTAGCAACAAAACTCAAAACTCGATTTATGAAGTTGCCCAAATTATTCAGCAATTCACTGTTCAGTTTTGCTTGCAAGTCGGCCCATGTAAATAATGTGTCTGATACCTATTTCACCAAAAATGAAAATAAAAGTTAAACAAGTAAAATAAGCTACAGAGAAAGAAGGATATACATTACAAACCATCACATGAAAAAACTAAAAATGAAGATGGGTATCATCAAAGTTACCTCAGGCCTATTAGTTAGCAAGTAGTATCTCCATACTTCAACAGGAATGTTTGTATCTTTTGCATTATTTCCAAAAACCCCTATGCCTTTACTCTTAGAAAACTTTCCTGTAAAAACCAAAAAAATTTAGATCACCTAGTTATAATCAGATTGTGGCAAAATCATTACTAGATAGTCAGCCAACCTGCTTCATAATTTAAGTACTCTGTTACACTGATAGTCTTCATCAAAGTCCAATTTTCACCAGTTCCAAGAAGAGTGGAAGGAAACATCACCTAAAGATAAATAAGTACATAGTTATAATTCTTTTTCCAAACAAGAATACATATGCAGTTGAAATTATATCACAAACACGAATAAAGAACTGCAAGAAAAGGAAGGCAAACGCCTAAGCTTTGATTTAAAATTTCATAGTGGAACTGTGGATGCATATAATTGCTTCTTGGAGAAACTTATGAAGCTGTAGAGATCCTAACATTCCAATAATTTCAGAATTTCAGGCAATTATACAGAGTACGACTTTCACAACAACAGTAGTGAGCAATGATGATGGAAATCCCTAAAGTATTGCTCGCAAACTATACTTGTTATCACATATACAACCAACCATACAACTAAGCTAAGGATATATGGTCAAAGATAATCACTGTGCTGTACTTATGTGTGAGGCATATTTAGAAAACGGTACTTATGTGTGAGGCATTTTAAGAAAACAATACTTACATGTGAGGCATATTTAGAAAACTTACTGTGTGGAATGGCACATTATCCTTGCCCATAAACTGATACAGCTCCACATTTTCAGGATTCTTCCACCATTTTTCCCAATCATCAGTGTAACATTTAGTAATGGAGACATATCCAATTGGAGCATCAAACCACACATAGAAAACCTACAAATTGCACCGTTGGGACAAATTTAGTAAATTTTGATAATCATTAACAAAAATGCGCAGAAACTGATAATCATTAACAAAAAATGCGCAGAAACTTAGTTGCATGTATTAACCTTGTCCCTGAAGTTATCATGAGGAACCGGAACACCCCACTTCAAATCCCTGGTAATACACCGCTGCCTGAGCCCCTCTTTGAGCCATGCATTGGTCGCTTGAATGGCATTCTGGCTCCATGACCCAGCCACTGACATTTCATTGATATATTGTTCCAACTTATCCTTCAGCAGAGGTAGTTCCAGAAACAAGTGGTTTGTATCTCGAATTCGTGGAGTTGACTTACAAACCTGCTTGCAATAGGCAAAAATGAGAAATATAAAGGTGTAGCATAATCACATTTTTGCATGCATAATTGTTGCATGTGAGCGGGGAAGAGTTACTTTCAGAAACCCTTATTTATTTTAAAAAACAATCAGAAAACAAGAAAAATATTACAAGGGCTAGAACAAAAAGGTTATAAGCAAGAACAGGGCTCGAGTAATACGTGCTAACAATTCATGTTTTTCTTTTAACAAAGTTTGCATATGTACATAGTACACACAACATGGCAAGTACCTTGCACTTAGGATCTTTTAGTTCTGTTGGATTCAAAAGCTTTCCACAGTTCTCACATTGATCTCCTCGTGCAGAAGCATAGCCACAGCCTTGAGTCGGGCATGTCCCCTCCACAAGCCTGTCCGCTAAGAACCGTTCGCATGTGTCACAGTAAAGCTGAATTACAGTACTAATTCAAGTTAAAATAAAATACAGAAACACTTCTTCAAAACATAACTTGATCGCAATGCATGAAGATAACCGTGTGTGCAAAGATTCACTGACTAAACCAAGAAAATGTGAAATAATTGACACAGTCCAGTGACTGCTACGGTTGCTACCTGCTGCATTGTGTTCTCTGTGAGCCAATCATTCTCCAACAGTTTCTTAAAAATAGCTTGGCATACTTCTGTTTGCTGTGGTGCCGATGTACGCCCAAATTTATCAAAGCTTATGTTAAACCATTCATAAACGTCCCTATGAATTGCATGATATCTACATAAAACAATTTGAAATAATATAAGAGTAAATCAAACACAAAAAATAGAGTTAAATTTACAAAATTACGTAAACTTCACTGAAAAATTTTACTTGTCACAGATTTCTTGGGGGCTACACTTCTCTTCCAAAGCTTTGGTCTCCGTTGCCGTGCCGTACTCATCAGTTCCACATATGTATAAGGTATTGTATCCCCGGAGACGGCAGTAGCGTGCGTAGACATCAGCACTCAATACACCTGGCCAACAAAACAAAGCAAACCAAAAATTTCAGGAGTCTGTTTGGTTCCCAAGGATATTAGAAGGAAAATAGAATTAAGGAAATGATACATACAGCCGATGATATTGCCGAGATGAGGGACATTATTGACATAAGGCAAGGCACTTGTGATAAGGATGTTTCGCTTGCCAGGGATGGGTAGCTTGGCAACCTTCTGGTCCCCCTTGGAGGTAGCTGTGAGGTCTCCCATGTCTGGCTCTCTACTTCAATGGCTGGCCAGAACCAGATGCTTAAAAAACTGCAACCCAAGATAAAAATAAAATTAAGACTTTTTTTTCTGTACTATTTCCTCATCAGATTTTTTAGTTTTCAAACAGGGCGTACTGCATAATGTATTTGTTACACATTCTATCGATTGACCGAACGGAAAAGCACCTTTAAAAGCACTTCTATGAAGCCTGAGAATCTAGAGACACTAAAATTTTATAAAAAGCAAGCACACCCAACAACAACAATAACAATAAACCCTTATCCCACTAAGTGGATCCGGCTATATGAATCCTAAAACGCTACTGCTCCAAATGAATCCTAAAAAGCAAGCACCCAAAAGAAAGAAAGAAAACAGAACTTTGAAAAAAAAGGGAAAAACTTTTGGTTTTCAAGCACCGTAGACGCATGAAATTCCCAGTTGCAATCACACAAAGTAACCGAACTATTCAAAAAAAAAAAAACAAAAAGGAAATCAAAATAAAGCAATACTTCAATACGCAATCAAATAATGCATGCAAATAAAAATAGCCCAAATATCAATAAATTTACTCCGATTTTTATCTACATGGAAAACCCTAGTCCGAAATTACACACACATATATATCCAGATAAAAAGTATAATCCACATGAAAAATAAAAAAAACTGGATAAAAGCTGGGAGGACCTGATGCGAAAACTGAGAAGCACAGCAATTTATTAGGATCTAATTTCGGAAGGCATAGACGGAGATGAAGAGGGAGAGAAAGCAAGCGCGAAGAGAAATTGGCTTACCGAGTTGTCCGTACGGTTGCGTTGCGGCTGCGAGAGAGCGAGTGAAACGGGAGCTGCGGCAGAGACAAAGTTTGGTTTAGGTAAGTGTCAAATTTCCACAAGGGTTTTGTTTAATGAATTCTTTTGTTGTGCCAATTTGACCCTTATAACTTATAAGTGCGCAATTGAAAGTGGACCGAAACGACACAATCGTATGGACAGGGCCACAGAAAAACCTGGTAGAGAAAGAATCGAGATCCACAGGAAAATCTCGGGTAACACATACGGTTGGCCTAATAGTTATAGACGAATTTCATATCCGTATTACACATATACATTTTAGATTTGATTCATAGCATTGATGAATAAAGGTCAGAGAAGGTTGAAATGCTTTTATGGATCTTCTTAACCTCCAAAAAAGTAGAATACAGTGACAAAGTCAGCATATGGTTTTTTTTTTTTTTTAAGGTGAATGTGTTTCAATTTTTGCTTCAAATTCATTTAATTGAGGGATTTAGTTGATAACAATTATCGAACTAGAAACGAACTTTACACACTAGAAGTCCTCTTGTAAATTCCCCTGTTTTTACGCAGAAGCTAATCAACATTTCAGTTGCTTATTTGTATATATTTCCTAGGAATTGGAAATTCCCATAGAAGTCAATGGCATTTTCTTAATGCAACTTTAAACTTCTTGTGTTTTCTTTTCTTGTAGGCTACAAAGCCGAACCAGTATAGAACTGTGTTGTTTTGGTGGCTGGTTTGCTTGCTTTTGTCATATTTTTGCCTACAAAGCCGAAACAACTAATAATCAACGGTTCAGTTTGGTTTAGTTTTGAACAACACCATAATTAACAACACCATAATTGAAACCAAACAAACCCAAACCCTTGTTAATCAGTTCGGTTCGGTCAGATTAAACCTATTACAACATATCAAGTGTATTTTTCTTTCTAAATATAAAAAGTTAGGAGTGTAAAAAGAGAATTTTGGAGTGCTAATAACAATTCCCAAAACAAAATGCAAAATAAAAGTTATCAATTTTCTCTCTAATTGGGGAGTCACGACCTAAGCGGTTTTAAGCGAACTAGGCAGGCACCTAGGAGGGCTAGGCGGGCACCTAAGAGGACTAGGTGGACGCTTAAGAGGGTCTAGGACGCCCTTTCTTAATTGTCAAACGCCTAGGGACTAATTAGAGCAGTGACTAGTCGACTAGCGCCTAAGCAGAGATAGACAGGGATATTTAGAACAGTAACTAGAACTAGTTTCAGTTTCATTTTGCGCTTGATCGATAAAAAACACAGTTAACTCTCTAAAGGACAAAAACAGAGAGAAACACATGACCAAGAGCTGAAAAAAAAAAAGCGCCAGTTTGATTAACATGTCTGACCAGAATCAATATGAAGTGTCATGACTCATTACAAAGAGGTAAGGTTTTGTTTTTTCAAATATTTCAATATTTTATTTTTGCAATAATTTTATTTTCCTAAGACCAATTACGATAGTATTAGTAGAACATTTTTTATCAACGATGATTTCCAGTATGATTCCTAGTTTACACACGTAAATGTGTTTCGATTTTTAGTCATTTAATTGAGGGATTTGGTTGGTGGGTTTAACAATTATCGAGCTGGACAGTAAAGAATAATGGCTTTTACACACTGAGAGTGCTCTTATAAATCTCCCTGTGTTTACGCATAAGCTAATCAACATTTCAGTTGCTTAATTGTATATATTTCCTAGGAATTGGAAATTTCCATAGAAGTCAATGGCATTTTCTTAATTCAACTTTAAAACTTCTTGTGTTTTCTTTTCTTCTAGGCTACAAAGCCAAACCAGTATAGAACTGTGTTGTTTTGGTGGCTGGTTTGCTTGCTTTTGTCATATTTTTGCCTACAAAGCCAAAACAACTAATAATCAACGGTTCATTTTGGTTCGGTTTTGAACAACATCACAATTGAAACCAAACAAACCCAAACCCTTGTTAATCAGATTGGTTCGGTCAGATTAAACCTATTACAACACATCAAGCGTATTTTTCTTTCCAAATATAAAAAGTTAAAGAGTGTAGAATGAGAATTTTGGACAAATTCCTTAACACAACTTTCTGTCGTGTTAAAACATCGAAATGAATGAATACTAGATAATATCATAATAATCATACGAACAACGATAGCCTTCCGTGAAAATAGTAGTTCACTCGGAAAAATGCACGAGGAACAGAAGAGTACATAATCCGTAAATACTCACAAACGAATACAAGGAATACTTTACGACTTATCCCTGTATAGAATCAATACTTAAAACACTTCAACTCACGTTCACATTCCAGCAGCAGACTTGGAGACTTGCTTCAGAGCATTAGCAATCTCATCAGCTTTTGCTTCCTCATTTACGTAGGCAACCAAAGGGCTCTCGCGAGGAACAATGTCGTCTTTGAGATAGCTTCCTGACGTTCTTAGCAGCTCTTCCGAACCCTTTGCCACCACCCCTTTCATGATTATTGTCTTATGAGTTCCAGATATCATTTCTTCATAATCGGTGTCTCCACTTTCTCCAAGGAACACATACATGTTGGCGACATTCAATCTCCAACGAACAAAAAGGTACCTAAAAAATCAGGCATAAAAAAAATGCATGAATCTCAATTTATAGTATTATAGACCCATTAGAACTATCCAATTTAAAAAACTGTCAGCTTATAGAGGACCTTGTGCGCCAAGTTCTAGATATCAACAATACCTGAGTGCCTGCGCTCGAGAAGCAAGGAGAGGAACAATTTGCATTCTCGTTGAGCTCCTGGAGTACATTGGATGGCAGCGCAGTCCCCGCATCCTGAGTTTCTGCCTCAAATCATCAACTTTCCTTGCCTGCAGAAGCATACATTTTGAATTTAATCAAACGAAATGAGCCGATTATTCTCTAAATTGCCATCACTCTAGTTTAGAAAGTTCATCTACCTTACTAGGATCCTTTATGAAGAATGAGATGCAATGTGCGTTGCTTGATTTTAAGTCTTCTTGAATGTGGCTGGAAGAAGCAGAATTTCCTTTGCCTTCAGGGGCATTCAACAGCTTCAAAATTGTTTTCTTTAGACCCTCACAACCCCAACGGTAGTCAATATGTGATGCATAATCTGGATCTGGGGAAAGTCTTCCGCCGCCTTCTGTATAAGTACCAGGGTAGTAAACTTCACTTCCACTGCTACAAACCAATGCGTCAAATTCGTTTGCCTGTATCTTCCCTGATGCCAAAAACTCTACAGTTTCTGACATTGGCATAGCCGTTAATAAAGCAAACCCTGTGACCCTAGCACTTTGAGAGTCTAATCTGACAGCCTTAAATATTTCTTGAACTACCTGAATCATTTTCATTTTAGGATCTCCAGAGCTTTCGTAGCAATCAAGCGCTATAACAATCAATTTCCGTCTCCTCCTTAACATGGGATATTTACTTGACACATTATCCAACGGCTTATTTCCGACATCTTGATCTTTTGGACCGGAATCTGGTTTCTTGATCTTGCTTAGGACACGTTTCACTTGATCTTGCACGTCGTGGTCACCAGTGGCAGCAGTCACATCAAAAGATCCATTTAATGAAGCTTTATCCCCATCAACTGAGAGCCTAAGAGACATATCTTGCACATCCTTAAGAGAATCATTGAGAGACTCGTCAGCAGCCATATCATCCTCTGGGGTGTCAGTTTGCCATTGTGGATGTCTCATGCGGCAGGCTGCAACCCTAGTCAGGTAAGTCCGGCAATGTTCAGGCCATGAGTAGAGGTGTATGTTCTTCCAGCCATTCTTTCTACATTCACTCCATAAATTCTTCTCTGATAACAACTTAAGAAGTGCACCAGCAATCGACTGCTGATCATGAGGGTCCACAAGCAAACCATTATTCAGCGCCTGAAATGCACAACGTGAAAAGTAACTCGGTCATTATAATTGAAATCACTCTCTACTTTCTCTTAGCTCGCAACCTTTTGAATTTCAAGTTAAAAAAAGTAGAAAATGAAAATCCACAACCATCTGAATAAATTCACTTCACTCCATCTCAAAAGTAACAGATGTATGGATCACAATTATTGAGTAAAAGATGTAATCTATACCCGATGTATATCAACCGGTCCACCGTTTTTTGTAGCCACCATTGGAAGCCCATGTGCTGCTGCCTAAATCATAGAAGAAAAAAAGATGCATTAAATCAAAAGCCTCACTTTCTGGAGTAAGTAAAGATCGCTTCTAAAGAAAGAATCTAGAAAAAACTAACCTCAATCAAGGTTAGCCCAAAAGGCTCCACTAATGCTGGATTTATGAAAACACCCTGTCACAATTGAACCCTTTAGCACATAATCTCCGTTAAACAAAAAATTGCTATCTTGAAACTGTGATCATCAAATGAACCTTTGTTTTTGCCGTGAGACGGTATATATCTGGAACATCTGATTGCCTGTGATGCTTTGGATATGCCACTTGCCCATAAAGGTCATACTTATCAATTAGTTTCAAAACTGTCGTAAGAACACTAGCATTTCCGGTAGACATCTCATCTATGCAGTCCCTATTCCCCATTATCAGTGTCTGTTTAAACCATTTCATTAGTATTTAATCCCAATATTTAATTGCACTGTGTAATGGTAAAATTGAATTTTTGCACAAATCCACTTACAAGATTAGCGAGCTCTCTTAGAGGACCGCATTCCCCAAAGGCTTTTAAAAGAGTGGTTATGTTCTTCTTCGGATCTGGTCTTGACAAAGCCAAGATCATTGGCTTGTGAGGATTTGTAAGGAACCGCATCACCTGCCAAAGTTTGTTGAATATGAGGACAGCAAGCTGGTTAACGTTTAAGTGCACAAACATATGATGGCGCAAAGGCACTCACTTCTGACCATATCGTTGGAATTGCTTTCGGGGAAGACCCATCAGTACCACCGATAAGTTGGTTAAGTTCGCCATCAACCTCAGGCGTATCTTCTTGAACCACAACATTACTGAAGTCCATGCCAGGAGGTATAACCTACATGAAGAATGCACTTAGTTCGGAAAAGAAACATGTGCATTGCTATCATTTACGCATATTATCTATTCCTTTTCTAATTGACCAACACTCAGAAAGATAGATCCTTGGTAAGGCAGTGCTAGGTATTTAAAAAAAAAAAAAAAAAAAACA